GAAATATTTTCTGGAAAACGAATTGATTTTTGGTCAATTAATGTCCCCATGAAGTAGCGGGAAAAACAGCATTTTTACTCGATAATAAAAATATGATCAGTTATCCCAGTTTCGCTCTTAATTCATGAGAGTGAGTCAAGTGAGATTGATTGCACGATCGAATTCGATTTTCTTCAGATTTAAATTCTACAGGTAAAAATTTCACGAAAATTAGTGTTAAATTGAAGAATGCAAATAAAAAGCGAGATTCAGAAGCGGGAACGTTTACAATTTGGCTAGGCTTCATTTTGTTACGCAATCCAACTCCCTGTTCCGGATAAAGAATTTTTATTTAAATACTGCAAAAATTCCTATATTTCCCTGCACAACGGACATGAATAGTTCAAATGACATTTCAAGGTTCATTGATTATGAAGGAGATAAATGAATAAACACAATGATTTCCACTTGATTTTCTTACATTATGATACATCACAAATGAGAGTCGCGCACTCTTCGTTCATACAACAAAGGAACGAGCACACTTTCCATCCAACATTCGAACAAAATTCGAAATCGTGAGTGCGTGAAGTAAACATTTATTCATTAAAAATACTTTCGGAAATTCACTTTCCGGTGTCTCCTTTTCAACGTAAAGTTTTCAGTAACGAGTCTATACATTTGATGCTCCATGGAGATTTATAATATTAGTTTCATAAAAAAAATTATACAAAAAAATCACTACGAGTAGCAATTATTCAAACCAAAATGAAATTAAGATTCAATTGATTTCCTAGAAAATAGTTAGGAATGGTTTAAAATAAACCAACGACTCTGTAAAACTGCTACAGTGAAACGAATTAAAAAAAATGCGAGTTTGTTTGAACCTATCAATAATTACATGACAAGATATGCCGAGGTAAAATTTCATTTTGTATAAGATGAAATACGCTCGTGAAACATAACATGGACACATCCATAATAGCGGCGCTGCGATGCAACAGTAACTACACAAATAATGTATATTATTAGTGAGTTTATGTACAGAACAAGAGAATCAACATCATGTCGCAGCCCACCACTAACATGCCTAACCCCAACGTCAGTTCGCACTCGACAGCATGTATAGTAACGCGCATTTATCTAACTTTTCGAACTGCCCATTGGGCTCATCGCAAGTCGAACTTCACACTGCCATCAATCATAAGAGCTCAGGACTTTTTACAATACCTAAAAAACTCTCATCGCTATCAGAGAACAGTAGAAAAAGGACACAAAGATAAGGTAGAAAGGAAACTGTACAAGTATAGAGCATGAGTAAAGGCGGAATAGAATAGTACAATGAGTCTGAAATGGGCGAGTTTTAAACTACAAACATCAACAATAACGAAAATAGTACCGTATCATAATTTTCCTCTTCAGTAACTACTACTTTCATCTGAAGATCGACCAGCTACCGTGCGTTAGATAGAACTGATGTGTACATCAATTATCCATATAAAGGCTTCATACAACCAGGAAATTACATAAAGTCGGTCGGATGAAACAGGAATGGAAATTTCGGAAAAGACGAAAATTTTGAAACTTGTCCGGCAATTGATGAGCTCATTGTAACTTTTAATTACAAATAACTTGAATGAACCTACGGGAGAGGAAAGGATGAGCACAAAGAAGTTTAATACGTGGCCTAGATGCAACCATTCATTATGTAAGTAAGAGATACACATTACACATTTTTCCTAAGTTTGATTCATACACATGATATCGCATGCTATATGCAGCATTTGGATGGACATTCTATAAGTGCTCCTTTATTTACAAGCCACCAGTCCAACGGCACAGCAGCAAAGTCCTCGCAGCAAATAAAAGCTGCCTTGTTACTGATATTTCTGCGTCAAAATTCAATCTCCTAGCACGTACGTGTTCACTATCGAAATCATTCCATTTTCCGCGTCGGTCAAGTTAGGACAAACAATATTCCAACAACGCTAGAACATGGAATTGGTCAATAACAAATTGATAAAAAGATAGAAAAAAGTCTAAATTACTAGACGAGATTAGAAATTGGAATTTCTTTTCAAAGAGATCAGTTAGCCACAGACAACCTCAGGAAGGAATCTAGTCGAAACGATTCATTAGAACTAAGGTTATAAAAAAGTTACATAGTTACAATAGGAGCATATGTCAGAACAATGAGGATAGCATAACTCCATCGTCCGCTTCTGAAGCTTTCAATCCAAAAGGCGATGGTATTATTCAGTGGTATGAGTAATCGATTACCTCTGTGGTCAAGTAACGCAAAACATTTTCTAGTGAAATGAAAAAAATTCGACGACAATTCCAAAACAAATAAGAATATTTTCTATTTAAATGAAAAAATTCGACGACAATTCCAAAACAAATAAGAATATTTTCTATTGAAATGAATAAATCCGACGAATTTCAAAATTCAAAAATACTATCAAATTGAAAAAGCATTCAGTACTAGACTGAGTAAATTATGATAATATTAACCGAACATTTTTCAGAGATTCTCGTAATTTGCAGTTTCCATCTAAATCATAAAGCTGATATTTGAAGGAAAACTTGGAACTTGCAAAGAGTTGGAAAGGAATGTCACTACGAGGAACGTAAAAGATACAAACGAGAATCTTACAGGTAAATAATCTACAAAATAAGGCTATGGGAAGTTTGTGCAGAGATAACAATAGTCGAAGGTACGAACTAAGATCATTTGAATAAATATCATCGTTATTTCGGGTTCAGTAAGAAAAGGCACAGATGATTTTCCAAGGAAATGTAAATTTGGAATGATATTTGACGGACCCAACATCTATTAATTAAATGAATGTAATAGACACTTGCTCCCAGAGTCAGCTTCATGAGAGAGTTGATATGATGTTTACAAAAAAAATTAAATAGAAGTAGATATAGCTAGTAGAGAAGTAGATAGAAACAACGAAAGTTTAACTCTAAGATAGCTGCCTAGTGTTGCACTCTCAGATAGCTGCCATATGTTGCAGATAGCTGCCTAATGTTGCAATCTTTTATAGCTGCTTTATGTTGCACTCCTAGATAGCTGCTTTATGTTGCATTCTCAGATACCGTAGCTGCCGTATGTTGCAGATAGCTGCCTAGTGTTGCAATCTTTCATTTATAGCTGATTTATGTTGCATTCTTAGATAGCTGCCATATGCTGCAGATAGCTGCCTAATGTTGAAATCTTTTATAGCTGCTTCATGTTGCACTCTTAGATAGCTGCCATATGCTGTAGATAGCTGCCTTGTGTTGCACTCTTCCATAGCTGCCTTATGTTATGCCCGTCATGCAGCAAGATATGGCACATTACGAACTTTCGAGATATTCAAGCTTGAGCTTCACAATCACGAATCTCTTCTGATATGACTGGTACGCACAGCCGTGCAAAAATTGCCCGCTTCCGAAGCATATTATAAATGCAATTTTATCTCATTGCTTACACTAAAAGTCAGCTCAGGCGTTAGAATTTCGACTAATAATCAAAATACACACTTTGAATTACTCATCACACTTTGATTCTTTCAAATTGAAAGTGTGATTTATCAAAGTGTGATGAGAAGACTAATCATTAATCCGATAATAGTCAGAAACGATTCAAGAATTATTTAAAATTATGTTCAAGATTCGCAGAAATACATTTAATGAACAGAAATACTTACGGGCCATTGTTGAACATAGAATTTACAACAAGGGAAAAAAATCACGACCATTTAAATCCAGCAACTGGAGATTTTGGTCTAAAATAACGTATGAAACTTAACAATTAAGAAAATAAATCAAATAGCTAATATTGCTCAGTAGATATCACGCGTATCCAGCTGATATGTACTCAAAGCTCTAGGCCTCTAGCATTGCAATATCAGATACACCCAAACATTTAACGGATCGCGAACCACGAATTAATGAAAATTCTATAATACCAGAAAACGAAACTTGGCAAGATCGGTAAGTCTAAACTGAATACAGGTGAGTGAGCGCAAGTGGTGAATAGACAAACTTTGCGCTGACGTATGAGGGAATCGAATTCAATACAAGCTCTAAATCAACGTTCAGAAAACACCCCGTAAAAAAGTTATACAAACGCGCATAAATATCCACAAGGAATAAATACAATCATGTTTTCTAACTGACTAGTACGACTGTTTGAGAAGTACATCTAAAAATTAATCGAATCGGCAGACCACGGTTTTGACAACCATTGTGTAGAGGCGAAGATTACGCAAATTAAATCGATGCATAGAGAAAAACCGAGATTCATCTTGGTAATTAAGGAATGATAATGGCTGACAATAAGTAGAAGTACCGTTTAGTGAAAACGAGGTTTTCATAGTAAACACAAATTGAATTTGATACCTGGAGTATGAAAAGTTTCCCACAGTCGCTCTCATATAAACTGAGTGTAATCCATTACTCATAATGAGCAGTGATTAAAACTGACCAATAATCGTGATACATTAATTACATTATACGATGGCAAAAGTGTTGACATTTAATGGTAATACTAAACGAACTTCAACTTCCCCGAGTTGTGTCAAGGATGTAAACTTTCAATACTCCAGCAGGGTTTAACAAGACGATTCAATTCCGTACGCGTTTTATTTCTCGTTATAGTTCATTAGGCCTCAAAAATAAATTCCGAGTAAATAAATTGAATTAAAACATTCAATTACCTTCGAAATTTGCACTAACAACCTGCAACTGCTGACGCGAAGTTTGAATACCTTGTAAGGTCGACAAACGGACTCCAGGGGCCATACTTTCAAAACTCGCTAAGTGAACGTAAGTACTTACGCTCTATTTTCTTGTCTACGATCGATGGATTTTGCTTGAAAGGCCGTCAATGGTTGGCTGATGAACTTACGATCTCTTAACTTTTTTTGAAAGTATAGGCCCTGGTGACTGAAGGCTAGGTTTGCTAAAATGGGCGATTTTAAAAATCCGTTAACGCTCATTTGCACCTCAGGATAATTGATTCACTGTAGACAAAGCAGGATGTTTTAGGTTTAGACATAATATGTGTAGAGCCAAATCCTGTTGAATACAACAGTCGCAATGACCAGCCAGTAGGTAATTTCAGTCGATGTAATCATAGTTAAATTCCATTAGCCAGAACTTGTTCATAACTGATGAAAAATATCTGAAAATTGTCATAAAAAACGATACAATTGTTACCGGATATTGCAAATTATTACTTTCGAAAAATTATACACGGGTTTCGAAAAGAATGCTTTAAAATTAACTTCAGAATTTCTTTAATGAATGTTGAGAAACTTAAAACCTGCAACAAGTAATAGAGTAACGGTTGTTTGAAAATACTGATTAAAAACAGAGACAAATTGGTGAAAACAACAACCTTATTTAATAATCCAACGAAGTTATAAAGCTATGAGTTTTTTACCTAAGCTATTTTTCGCTTATAGCTTAGCTTCAATTCATCGTTTGGGACATAACTTATATCCTGCAAGATGATAGTAACGTAAAATATGTCCTCGACAAAAACAAATCCCTTCATTCAATAAGAAATACAAAGATTAAAAAAAATCTAACTTATGAAATTCTATAAAAATAACTTGTAGAACGTAGGCACTATATCGGACACGAGACAGACATTTTAACCATACCTAAAGCTCATGATTACATTACCCATGTAGACCAATGCTGAATTAATCTTCGTCAATCACTTAAAAGGAAAGAATTAAAGCTGTAACCGTTTCTTATCTAACTTAACACCCTTCACATGTAAAGGTTTCAATTACGATCGAGATAAAGTTCAAACTTTATCTCCTCAGATATTTCCTTGACAAGCCAGCGCAGAAAAGTTTTTGTTTTTTAATTCACTTCAGTTCAACTCAAGATTGTCTTTACGTGAAAAGTTCACTTTTTTTCGCAGCCACAAAACATTAAAATTTCCAAGCCACTCACGGCTCTTCGGTGCACAAAAGGTAACAAGGAAGTTGACATACGTCAAGTGTCATTGTTCAACATTCCAAATCCTTCGCTTTGATTCGACTCACTTAAAAAGCACAAATTAATATTATTGACACTGATCGATAGCAGTTCGATTATTAAGTCAGAGTCACGAGAAATCATACACATGTAGTATATCTCTCTTTAGTTGCTCTATCTAATTTCTCTACTTCACGAAGAAAGCCGAGGGTGTGATCGCAGTGCGAAGGTTCCAACACATCAAGTAACGACGAAGCACGAAGATGTCATTGCACCGCGGGTTAGTTATGACCACAAAGATTTAGGCGCCGTGGCTGGTCAATCAACGAAGTGGTCAAAGCTGTCCAGATACTCGAGGGCAGCCAGGTAGCAGAACCGATATTCCTCCTGCAGACACACGTCAGTGTGAAGTGAAATGCAACCGTGTAGGTACTCCAGAACAATTGAAATTTTTCTATTGCTGCTAATTTGCGAGAAAATTTTCAGTTTTCTTAATAGATGTCTTGAAAGAAGGTCATTCTAAATTGTATTCATTTGAACTGCTGCTTTATCTTTATTGCTCCAACATGCACAGTAGGAAAACAAAACGAAAAAAAAAATCGTACCTAATTTTGAGCAATACATCATTTCTGAACTCGCGCTACTTGTAAATTAACCTCGGTCTACACCATGGCAGGTCGCTGGATGGTACCCTCACCTCGGTCAGCACCATGGCAGGTCGCAGGTACGCTCACCTCGGTCTGCACCATGGCATGTCAGGTACGCTCACCTCGGTCTGCACCATGGCAGGTCGCAGGTACGCTCACCTCGGTCTGCACCATGGCAGGTCGCAGGTACCCTCACCTCGGTCTGCACCATGGCAGGTCGCAGGTACGCTCACCTCGGTCTGCACCATGGCAGGTCGCAGGTACCCTCACCTCGGTCTGCACCATGGCAGGTCGCAGGTACCCTCACCTCGGTCTGCACCATGGCAGGTCGCAGGAACGCTCACCTCGGTCTGCACCATGGCAGGTCGCTGGGTGCGCAACATACGGACGGTCTGGAAGAGGTCTACGACGCCCTCGTATTGCATCCTCTCCAGCACCTGCGACAGCGTGATGAACACTCCCGTGCGCCCCACGCCCGCACTGTCAACACGCATTGATAAGTATCAAAAAAACATTTTTTTACAAAGTTTAATACAAAATAAACCTATATTAACATATGACGGTTTAATTTGTACTCCAAAATTCAATTTCGATATCTAAGCACACAAAGGCTTCAATTTCATGTCATGTACGTACTTGTCTATTTGAGAGGAAAATTTAAGGAACAAATAGCATGCAACTGATACAAACCATATCGGTTATAATTTATTTTGTTTTACCGTTTTCAACATTACTCATTCTCAATGACTCCACAAGTCTAAAATTCTTCGTTAACCAAAAGAACTTTTTGCGATTTTCAATTTGTCATGGCCCAAGATTATTATAGTTTGATTCACGAGTCTGAAGATAATCCGTATTATAAATTGCCAAGAGAGCATTGCCCGCTCTACACCCTTCAGTCCAAGGAAAAAAAATCGAAATATAAAAATATGAATAAGAAACACTGACTTAAATCAAGATGGAATCGTTATTTTCAGCCGCTACTATAATCCTTTTGAAGCGAGAGACACGTCAACTACATTCCCTCCAGACAAATAACGCTGAAACAACGGAGTTTACGTCTTGATATCGTTGAAAAAACGTTCGCTCGACGTTATTTCAACGTCAGATGTCTGGTAGGTAATTCCATATCAGCCTCACCTGCAGTGCACTGTAATGGGCCCGTCCTGCCCGAACTGCTCTTTGGTTTTATGCACTTGGCCGATGAAGTCGATGAAGCCTTCGCCAGTCTTCGGGACTCCCTATATCATAAAAACAGTCATTACAATAGTGAATTTACATAGGCAATATTTTCATGGTGCCAAATAAAAAGGATAGAACCGAAAATTTACCATGATGTCGTAACAATTGATGTAATAACCATAAAAGATAGTTAATGGGTGGATTGGTTACTACTAGGAAAGATATGTGAAAAACACGAGGTGGCCCGAGGAGGACAGAAAGGGAAAAGAAAAATGGTAAGTAAAAGACGAAGATTGACGTATTTCGCATTTAATTAAGCAGTCGCTGGTTATTTGCGGTCACATAATTATTTATACCGGTCATATAATTTATATTTATACGGTTGTGTTAGGATTGACTGAGAATATGCGTGTTGAATCCATCACTGCTTCGGCGGGTTCATACAAAGTGTGAGTAGGTAAGGGGTCCACTATTTATATTATGCAGAGTTTTGAGTGCATTTTCATGATAAATTAGCAAACTAGCTAGGTAAAATTTATCGACAGTTAATATTTAGTGCGGTCGGACAATAGGCAGGTTCTAGCCTCACCTGTTCCGGCCACTCGATGAACTGGAATTGACGGATGGTGCGCGATTGTCCGTCACGGGCGTCCGTCACCTGGAGAAAATCATGTCATTACGCTGAGAAACTGGGAATTTTAATCCAAACTTCATCATTGCGATTCATCACTATCATGACGGCAAGTCACACGTGTTCTATACATCACTGATAACACTATTGATCACAATAAAAATGCGCCAATTTAAAAACTAGTCAGGTGCCAAGTTCCCGACAGAATTGAATCGCAGATGACTTGCTACGCATGTTACCATCATACGCAACCAATGTTAGTCTACAAGAAATCAAATCCTATTGTTGGTCTTCATTTTATGCCACCAGGTGTTTTTTCCTTTGCCTATAAGTGATGATTTTTTTTCCTCCACGTCAACTTAGTTTAATATTAGAGACTAAATTTTTCATGCATTTATTAAATTTCACTCAAATTGAAAATATCGTAAATTGAATTTAAATCCCGCACCCAAATTAACTCGATAAAAATGATTCATTTGCAATGAAGATAATAATTTTCCGCATTCTTCGATTGTCCGTACACGGTGCCAAGATAATTTTACTGTAATGACCCGAACTGCAATTTACAGCCTAACAAATGACTAACAATTAGCCGATAAAGCAGCGAATGTACCTTAAACTCCCGCAGGATGTACTGAGGCATGTTGTACTCAGTCAAGGGGTCGACCACGAAGAACTGGTAGCGCTGGGAACGATCGTTGGGCCAATACTGAGAACACTTGTCCTGCAATGAATGAAATCGTCATTAAATGACTTACTAAACACCGAAACCTGAGAGTTTTGCAAAGCATCGCAGGTTATGAACAATTTTATTACAAATACCTTACTGCAAATTCGATATGTATTAGAAATTGTAAGGCTTAATTCACTGGCTGAAGCTGGTGATTTCTCCATTCTAGAATAACTGTTGCCGAATACAGATTTTTGAAGAAAATTATCACGGGATCCAAGTCATAATAATATGCGCAATGAATTATCTCACTTTAGTTTAACTTTACCCTCAAGGCCAAGCCTGCACATCGCAACAAAACAAATGATAACAAGAATAATAAAAAATATAACTCGGTACTCACTGCAGTGAGTGACAGAGAGCGCATTTTCTCGTCGACGAAAACATGAAGTCACGGACGGACAGACAGACAGAGAGACAGACAGACAGACGGACATGGCGAGCACAATAATGCATTTTTTCTTCATAAATGAGAAAATGCGCTAAAAAGGATCCTAAAGGCTAAGTTTATAATAATAAACTAACCCGTCCGAGTTCCTTCAGTTTAGTTAGCATGACGACGATGGTAGAGTTGTGCTCCCACAACATGCGCCAGAAGTCGTCTATGGTCTCCTGTAGCGGCCCTTGAGTCGCGATGTAGGCGCACCGATACCTGCACGACACTTCAACTTTACATCTCTGTTACCAGATCTACCATTAAAATGATCAATATTCATTTGCATTAGCCATTCAGATGGAGTTATGAATAAGTTTGCCCGAAAAGTTTGTTTAAGACGTTTTTTACTCGGATGCATGCTCTTGCACCAAGCTTCATTTCAACACGCATAGGTAGTGTCCATCAATTTCACTTGGCATCAGAAATTTTTAAGAAATGTTTTCAGTGGAAACGTCAACGGTAAACACCACTGAACAGCAGTAAAGACGCATTTATAAATCAATGAAGCTGGCGTTGATGTAGTGCCGTACTCACCTGTATCCATCAATGAAGCTGGCGTTGATGTAGTGCTGCTGTACGTTGATGTAGGGCTGTACTCGCCTGTATCCATCAATGAAACTGGCGTTGATGTAGTGCTGTACTCACCTGTATCCATCAATGAAGCTAGCGTTGATGTAGTGCTGTACGTTGATGTAGGGCTGTACCCACCTGTATCCATCAATGAAGCTGGCGTTGATGTAGTCAGATCCCTCAGTGGCACGCAGAGGCTGCAGGCAGACGCGAGTGCTCTCATAAGGCAGGATGTTCACGAGACGGTTCTTGAACTTGTTCACGGCGAGGTTTGCGCTCACGAAGCGCGAGGGCTGGGCCTTGATGTTAGCCAAACGCTGCGAAAAAATATAACTCAGTACTCAGTGCAGTGAGTGACAGAGAGCGCATTTTCTCGTCGACGAAAAGACGAAAACATGAAGTCACGGACGGACATGACGAGCACAATTCTCGTCGACGAAAACGTGAAGTCACGGACAGACGAACATGACGAGCACAATAGCGCCTTTTCTCCATAAATGAGAAAATGCGCTAAAAAGGCATTAACATCAAAAAAGGGTTCATATAAAGAACTTTTTATACAGGTTTACTAGCGTAGTGACATTTCTTGGCAATCGTCAACCTAAGATTAAAACAAAATATTTCAACTGATGATAATAATGCAAGTACGGTCAAATTACTCCCACGGAATAACAGGGCTATTATATGAAACACAAAATTATTTATTGAACATATATAATACTAGGCTTAAGATGTAATAGCAGGGCTCTCAGTATGACAAAGTTATCCGCCAAGTTGGTTCGGCGACTCAATCTTGATTTCTAATCCCGTAATTCAGACAACTCGTGGTTCCAAAAATCCAGTCATTTATCATAATCCCGTAATTCAAACTGATGGTTCCAAAAATCCTGTCATTTTTTATAAGTTCAATTACCAATAAGTTCCATAATAAGTTCAATAATATAATAATAAGTTCAATAAGTTCAATAATAAGTTCAGTAGTAATTTTTCGGTATCGCTGGTGGGCGGTGCTCGGTCGCCATAAAAGGTAATGCTTTCAGCATGGCCTTGGGTTGTTGTCTTTAACCCTCTACTGCCTGACACGAGTAACCGGAGCAATATTGTCACAAGCCTACTTCCCAAAAAGGATACGTTCTAGTGAGCGCAAAATGACTTGCACTGATGGTTGCCGCCACGTACGACAACTTTAAAATGTTCTCTGTTGCGTACAAACGTCCTCAGGTTGCTACACTCAATAGTTTACGTATAATTTAAGCTGAAAGTTATGTTCCCGGAGAGTGACACACGGCGGTAGAGGGTTAACCGTTAGGTTAGGTTAGGGTTAACCCGTTAAACGAGTTTTGAGCACGTACTACTTGAGGTATCATTCTATGATAATTATCCTTTATTTTATTATCATTCAATGATATTTATCATTAATTTTATTATCATTCAATGATATCACAGCCTTAAGGCTAACCTTAAACTCCGCCTCCATAGCCGTTGTGTTGCATCGCTTGGCTGCAACCGTTTTACCTAAGCCTTTTACCTTTACCTTATTAGTCTTTTACTTTATTACCTTTATAATTTATTTTATTATCATTCAATGATATCACAGCCTTAAGGCTAACCTTAAACTCCGCCTCCATAGCCGTTGTGTTGTCGTCGGCAGGCTGCAACCGTTTTACCTAAGCCTTTTAGCTTTACCTTATTAGTCTTTTACCTTATTACCTTCATCATTTATTTTATTATCATTCAATGATATTATAGCCTTAAGGCTAACCTTAAACTCAGCCTCCATAGCCGTTGTGTTGTCGTCGGCAGGCTGCAGCAGGCGCTGGATGTGCGCGTGTAGCGCTCGCGCCGCCACCTCTGAGCTGCCCGCTACGATCGCCTCGAGCAGAGCGTCGTGAATGAACATGTACTGGTCCTCCGTTTGTACCTTAATTAAATAATTATTAATTACTACAGCGAAATTATTTCTCTACATTTATTGTCTTCCGTTTGCGACTTAATTCATTAATTAATAATTAATAAAGTGAGATTATTTCTCTACATATATAATGGTTCAGGTGAATGAACATGTACTGGTCCTCCGTTTGCACCTTAATTCATTAATTAATTAATAATTAATACAGTGAGATTATTTCTCTACATTTATACTGGTTCAGAGGCACCAAGGGATAACATTCCCGTAGAGATCAAAATAAGATTGTGTATACTTCAATAAATACAAAGGGTGACTCCGAATTTAAATTTATTATAAAATCGAAAGTTTTATCTTACTGAACTTGGAGGAATTTCTAAGTTAAATTTACCGAGTGAATACCAATGAATTCCAACGCGACATTGTAGAATTACATGTCTCACAGGGACATCAGGAATTGCTCTTCCCTGTTCATTTTCATTCGGCCAGAATTTTATTTCATTCAGCATGGTTAGTTGCTCTGGTTCTTGGTTTGCATTTCATGCCAGATTAATTGCATGAGCAATTTTTTATTAAATTGCTTAAATAATTTATTAATTATTACATATTTCTAAAATTTCACTATTAATACTATTCTAAACATTAAACTATTCAGAGACGATTGGTTTGCTTAAATTTTTAGAATGGAAGTGAAATTAACGATGTCGTCAGTACAGAGCAAACGTCTACAATTAAATTGCACATATGAAATTCATCTGAAATCACCGGTGCAACAATCTCTTAAACCTCTTTAGTATACAATTATACATCAGTGAATTTAATACAAGATTACATATTTCCATCAGCCCATACAAGCGGCGGTGAGGACGATAAATCGAATACAGTAAATCATAATTACATCAGAGATCATATTATATCTTACATATAATGTATCAGAGATCATACCTACATTATCTTGAATCACTGATTTCACATTCAGGCTCGTCATCACTGAGATTCTATTAAACTGAATACAAATCATCGTATTTAGTTATCATCACCGAGAGTCCGAGATTGTATGAAACTAAATACAAATCATCATATTTAGTCATCATCACTGAGATTGCATGAAACTAAATACAAATCTACATATTTAGTCATTATCACTGAGACTGTAAAAAACTAAATACAAATCGTCATATTTAGTCATCATCACTGAGATTGTATGAAACTAAATACAAATCATCATATTTAGTCATCATGACTGAGCTTGTAAGAGCAGGCACCCACCATGTAGTTACGTTGCGCCCTGAGACATGTCACGTGGCCGTAGATGTCGATGGTGCGCTCGAGCTTGAGGCGTTCCAGCATCGCGTCTATCACGATGAACGCGCCAGTCCGACCCACACCAGCACTGCAAATTTTCAATTATTAATATTTAGAACCTGCTTCCTATTTCTGAAATAATCTTATCATATTGACTGGAAATGAAATAAAATTGTTCTTTATTAATGCACAAGAGAAATGTGCCGGGGAAACACTTCTCTTAATAGTTTCACAAATTAGAATTAAACATGAATTTCAGACTAAATGAAAATTTCTGCACAAATTGAAGTTCTTACACTAGACGTGAAAAAATTTCAGTTCTAACATAATTCCAATGAAATTCTTACACACAGAAGTAAATAAAAGTTTCAGTTCTAACATTATATACTAATTCAAGTGAAATTCTTACGCATTGGAGTAAATAAAAATTTACGCACTAAAATAATTCAAATATAATTCTTACGCATTGAAGTAAATACAAATTTCCGTTCTAACATAATTAAAAATGAAATTCTTACACATAGAAGTAAAAATTTCAATTCTAACATAATTCAACATTAAGTGACCTGCAGTACAAATTTCTGAACAAAATGAAATTCTTACACATCGAAGTAAAAAAAATTTCAGTTCTAGCACAATTCAAATGCAATTCTTACACATTGAAGTAAATAAAGTAAATAAAAATTTCAGTGCTAATATAATTCAAATTAAAATCCTTACACATTGAAGTAAATAACGTAAATACAAATTCAAGTTCTAACTAATTAAAAATACAATATAGTAAAAAATAACTAAAAAAAAATAACGTAAATGCAAATTCAAGTTCTAACTAATTAAAAATAAAATTCTTACACATCGAAGTAAATAAGGTAAATAAAAATTTCAGTTTTAACATAATTCAACATTAAATTACCTGCAGTGTACGACGATGGGGCCGCTGTCGACAGGATTGCACTGCTTCACACGGCGCAGGAACGTCAAGAAGGGCGTGGGTGTGTCGGGCACGCCGTGGTCCGGCCAAGCCGTGAACTGGAACTGCCGGATCTCACGACGTTCCAGACCTCCCATCTGCGCGCGGTAAAATGAATCAATTGATTTTAATGCTCGTAATTTATTGATGTTACTATTTTTTAAAATTTAAATGTTCAATCACTCAATAATTGAAATCTGAGCGCGGAAAAGAAATCAATAAACTTTGATGCTTTAATTTACTGAATTTACTATTTTTAAAAGATCAATCAATAATAGAAATCTCTTCCCACGATTACATCAATCCTGAATGAACATTTTTCCAAAAAATAATAAATTATTATAACTCTCTAGCCTACGCGCCAAAAGATCATATTATTTAATTGATTTTTTGTCTTATTTGCTCTATTTATCAAGTATGATTTTCTATAAGAATAGCAAGAAAGTCACTTTCTGAAGCTGAAATGGCATATTGTCCTATTTTCTCTATTTATCAAGTATGAATTTCTGTAAGAATAGCAAGAAAATCACCTTCTGAAGCTGAAATGGCATATTGTCCTATTTTCTCTATTTATCAAGTATGAATTTCTGTAAGAATAGCAAGAAAATCACCTTCTGAAGCTGAAATGGCATATTGTCCTATTTTCTCTATTTATCAAGTATGAATTTCTGCAGGAATAGCAATAAAGTCACCTTCTGAAGCTGGAATGGCATAATGTCCTATCTTCTCTATTTATCAACTATAAATTTCTGTAAGAATAGCAAGAAAATCACCTTCTGGAGCTTAAATGGCGTATTGTCCTATTTTCTCTATGTATCCAGTATAAATTTCTGCAAGAATAGCATTTTCTCTATTTATCAAGTATGAATTTCTGTAAGAATATCAAGAAAATCACCTTCTGAAGCTGAAATGTACGGACGGTGTAGGTGGCCAGCTCCTGGACGTCGGTGAGGGTGACCTGCATGCTGTTGTATGCCTCGGTCTGGGACACGCGACTGGGCCAATATTGGTCACACTTGATGCGGGTTCTCTCCTCTAGTTTGGTCATCATCACGAGGGTGGTGGAGCCTTGCTCCCAACACATCCTCCAGAAATCACCGAACGTCTCCGGTAAAGGTCCCTACAGAAGAAGTGAAGTTTTGAAAGAAATTCCAAATTTTAAATAAAAAAAATATTTCCGTTTGAAAAAAAAAATTTCAAACTTCAGAAATCAGCGAACGTCTCCGGCAAAGGTCCCTCTACAAAAGCAGTGGTTTTGAAAGAAATAACAAATTTTGAATTAAGAATTTTAAACTACAGATATCACCGAACGTCTCCGGCAAAGGACCCTAGGAACGCACTGCACTTTTATGCAATTCTTTTAATTGCAATGCAGAAAATAGAAAAATTCAATTCTCGTGAGGACAAGTACGTGAGATTTTATTTGAGTTTCTCGTATGAAAAACAAAGAGAAATTCGACGATAGCAAGAAGGAAGAACAGAAAATTCAAAATAACCATCATCAGAAGCGATCCAATAAAGAATTAATGTTTAAGTAGCTTCATGACTTATAACATTATTGCTGAATAAATGAACATTTATGCAGAAATTAAAATGCTCACAGATAGACGTTCTCGAAAAATTTCAATTCTTGCATTAACTAAAATTATGTCCATGAAAGAATTTATCGAGAAGACTCAAGCTTTAGCACAGATCTGAATTTATCAACAGTATTTCAATACGGATGTACTGATTTTAATACGCATGTATTGTAATCAATACGCATGTATTGATTTCTATACAAATGTATAGATTTCTATAAAAATGTATTGATTACAATACCAATATATTGATTCCAATACGAATGCATTGATTACAATACGCATGAATTGATTTTATTACAAATGTATTGATTTCAATGCACATGTTTTGATTTCAATAGGAATATATTGATTTCAGTACGAAAGTATTTATTTTAATACCGATTTATTAACTTCAATCCAGGTTATTGATGAGAGTGTAGAGCATCGTACAGACCTGAGTAGCGATGTAGGCGTTAGGCTTCCTGTATCCATCACAGAAGTTAGCGTTGATGTAGTCGCTGCCGACGATACCGTCGATGGGCTGCAGCGTCACGCGTGAATGATCGTAAGCTATCACGTTCGCGTACCTGTTGACATAAATAAATCGTGTTTTAACTGTTTTTACAATGACTTTGTAACGGTTCCAGTGTGTTATAGCCCTTAATAAATCATATTAGATGTTAATTGATATAGGTAAATAGAATTTAAGAATGAATTATGGTGTCCGAATTTGATTTATCTGCGCTACGTTTGTGCGGCGATGCTAAGAATACAAAATTATTTTGGGTTGTGTGATTTAAGTTAATTTGAATCCCCTACTTGTATCTAAAAATGAATATTATGCTAAGATAACTAAAAGTTTGTAAGAGAAGCTGGGTAAACTAAGATAAGATGTTAGCTTCAGCGATAAGTTGCGTTGATGCTGACAGTCTGACCAGCTCTACTGATTCTGTACAAATAATTTTGCACAGTTCCGGCTGACCTAATATTATTATGTATGGCTTTAGCTTTTTATCAGGAATAAACTTCGACACGCCAGAATTAGCCACATAATGTGGCAGAGTTAGCTGGTCGTACTTAATTTGCTGCATTATGGAATGTTACAATTGTAGCATTCGTGTTTTAAATAGTTATTTATTTATGCTCACCAGGTTTCGAAAGCACGCACTCTTTCACGTTATCCTGGATAAAATTTTCCCTTCATATATCGATAGTTGTTAACTTGTATCTGCCTTTTAACTCTATCAATTATTTTTATACTTTTATTTAGCTATAGAAATTATTCTTGCAGTTATTTTTAATAAAAGAGATAATTTTAAATAATGTCAAACTGAAATCAGATTTAGAATTCACATAAAAGAATACAAATAACTCACCTGTTCTTGGGTTTGTTGACATCCAAGTTGCTGTTGTCCCACGTGAACTGCTGCCCAGGGTCGATCGACTGCAAATAAAATGATGCGATTAGAAAATGTTTTGTCTGAATTCAAGCTCAACGTACGCGTTATACACTTCGCCATGCAATAACTTCTGTCACTGCCAGGTCCAGCATCCCCTACGTCTGTAACGGTTCCGACATCACTAACGTCGGTAACGGTTTACGTCATCACTAACGTTCCCACTCACGAATTTCGATACGAACGGTGATTCTCTCCTTCGAGAAGGCCTGATTTAACCGCGCTCTAACATCATAAACAGCTACATCATCAATATCACTACAAACAGTAACAAAAAAATCACCAGCATCATCACTAACAACACAATCAACGACATCATCAACAAAATGACCACCAACATGACCAAGGCTCTTAACTAAGCATCCTTGTCGCGCACTCACCTCGTACTCCTGCGAGAACTTGAGGTTATCGTTAGCCTTAAGAGCATCATCACTAACAACACCATCAACGACATCATCAACAACTTTAACAACAAAATCACCACCAACATCACCAAAGTCCTTAAAATTAAGTAAACATCGTTGCTGTACTCACCTCGTACTCCTGTGAGAACTTGAGGTTATCGTTGGCCTTAAGAGCCTCGATGTGGTCAGCGAGCTGCTGGACGGGCACCGGGGGATGACTCATCATGCCTGGCGTCTGGAAGTTGAGACGTCGTAACTCGACGGGGTCAGAAGGTCCGTTCATCATTAAACCATTGCCACTGCTGCCCAGACTGACGCCTTTAACGCTGTTAAGTGTGCCGTGGGCTGAGGCTGGACCACTTCCAGCCACCACACTAGCACCCACGCCGCCCATGCCACCGAGGTCCGCCATAAGAGGTTTGGTCACTTGGCTTTGGTCGGGAATTTTCGGCTGACGACGTCGTCTGGTGGACAAAAAATAACAGTTTTTAGCGCATTTTCTCATTTATGAAAAAATGCATTATTGTGCTCGCCATGTCCGTCTGTCTGTCTGTCCGTGACTTCACGTTTTCGTCGACGAGAAAATGCGCTCTCTGTCACACACTGCAGTGAGTACTGAGTTATATTTTTAAGCCTGCAGCCACAATAAAAAGGCTCCTTTGGTGAAAAGTGGATAAAAAATAACAGGTTTCTTAAGACAGCAATCACTTTAAAAGACCACTTCTAGTGAAATAACGCACAGGTTTTTTAAGACAACGACCCCTTTTAATTTAAAAGGCCACTTTTAGTGAAATAACGCAGAAGCTGCTTTGATTTTCAATTCTGAAGTAATTGCCAGAATCACAAGTTTTTCCCCACTGTTTGTTGTCTCTGTAGTATGGATGGAAAAATGTTCTATATAGAACGCAAGTTTATGTGAATTTTGCACATACGATCATTAAAAAATGAACTGGTAGAACCGCTTCTAAATAATTATTTTCTTGATTATTTGTTAAGGTTAAATCGAGTTTAATGATCGGTTATTAATTGGTCACACTACGAGAATGTTTTTCACACATCAAAATATTGATTCATGAGAAGGATTTTGCAGCTGACTCATTTGAATACTTCAACAGGTTAGAATGTGTCAACCTTGTGGTCCTGCAGTGGAAAGGTTCACAGTCTCTAAGATGGATAACTCAGTCAAATCGTCAATGTCAATATAATCAAGCAATGGACATAGATCTCAAATTTACCACAGAAAGATAATTATTCTACGTAGACTCGACTGAGAAAAAGTGAAGGCAGAACCATAGAAGCTATTAGAAAATTTGCTAGTGGAAATTTTATACAGAACTACGTTGAAAGATTCCTTGCAATATTATATAATTTTTGTTCTTAAATGAGAGTGTACAGTGATTCAAAATTCAAATATAGAAAGTCAATTTATAAAATGCATGTGTACTTAAATAAAATTCATTAAATTTAGTTAAAGCTAATTCAGGGATTCAAAATTCAACATTAAACACGTATCAAAATTAAATTCATTAAACTTAGATAAAGCAAATTTCGAGATTCAAAATTCAAAGATAAACACTCGCGACGAAGAAACTTACTTCCAGACGAAGAGCAAGCAAAAGAGGCAGATGACGATTAAAATTAAATTCATTAAATTTAGTTAAAAACAAAACTCACTTCTACACGAAGAGGAAGCAGAAGAGGCAGATGACGATTAAAATTAAATTCATTAAATTTAGTTAAAAACAAAACTTACTTCCAGACGAAAAGGAAGCAGAAGAGGCAGATGACGACGAGCACGACCGCCCCTATGAGGGGTCCCACTATCATCAGGGTCTGAGGGTGTGAGGGCGACCGCGGCACCGACAGGTCGCTCGAGTGGTTCGGCTGGAAGGGGTTGGGCCGAGACGGCAGGTCTCCGGTCGGGGCAGGTCTCATGTCCAGTGAAATGAGCGTCGAAAACGGCGAGGACGTGTACAGGTGCTGCAAAAATCAAGCCCGAATGAAAATCATGGAAATGGCGGAGTAGAAACCATTGTTTATTATATTAATAAATATTATTATAATACTGATAAATCACGAGTAAACCGGAAATTTCCAAAAAAAAAACATTGTTGTGAATTACGAAATATGATATAGATCGAAAAAAATAATAAAAGAAGTAATACCTACGAATAGAGGAAAAGTTACTTGAAATGCCAAGTAACGCGAACAAGAAACATGAGAATATTTTCATAAATATGAAGGAAGATTCTGTATACAATAGAAAACTCTGTAATAATTCTTCAAGACTGTCACTTCCTTGTTAAGCTATGGTCGAGATAAACTACATAGCACTTGAAAGCACAAAAACACTCACACGTCCTGGAGTGTCGACCACAGCCCGAACGAATATCTTGTATCTGCGAAATGGTACATCATTAAAACATTATATTAATAACAAACGAAATTTTCGTCATCCGAATAAGCTGTGTAGGTATTTATTTTCTACATTCTATTTGGAGTATTCTTCTATAAGCCCTATATATTCTTCTATCAGCCGTATATATTCTAGCATCAACCATATATATTCTACTATCAACCGTATATATTCTGCTATTACGTAAGCCGATATATTCTTCAACCAACCGTATATATTCCCGCATCAACCATATATAGTCTCACATCAACCGTATATATTCTTCTATCAACCGTATATAATCTGCTATTAACCGTATATATTCCAGCATCAAATTCATATAGTCTGGCATCAACCGTATTAATTCTTCTATCAAACCCGATAAAATCTGACTTTTTATCTTTCTGCAGCGGTCTGTTCTTGAATCCCCCCTTAATCCTGCCGTCGCCGAGGCTGAAGGAGTAAGGGATGCTGCGATGCATGAACTTGGCCGCGATGTACGGGCCTTCTGCCAAGGCTTCCTTATTGCCTGCCTTGTTCGCCATCAGCTGGAAAACATGAACATTTTTATTTGTCATGTCAAGGTGTCATCAGCTGGAAAACATAAGATTTTTATTTCTAAGGTCAAGGGCGTGGCCATTAGCTAGAAAATAACAGATTTTGTGTATCATGAAACTCACACATAGCAAGCGTCATGAACATTTTAATGTGTCAGGTCAAGATCGTGGGTAGAGAAATGAAAAACAATCAATTATTCCAGGCAGCCTGAGAACACAACTAAAATTTTCTATGAACAAAGAGAAGAAAACAAAATAATATAATTTAATAAGTTCAAATGGTAGAACCAAATTTTAATTTGTAACGTAAAAAATTTCATTTGATTGAAGTTATTGGCAATCCTCGTGAAATAACATACCAAAATATTCGTGAAACAAAATTAGCGATAGGTACTGTTTCTGATTGAAAGGAACAAAATACATTAGCACATCTCACATCGTCTGTCATGTACTGATCAGGCTGCTTGAATGTGAACTTGACAGCAACAAAATACATTAGCACATCTCACATCGTCTGTCATGTACTGATCAGGCTGCTTGAATGTGAACTTGACAGCAACAAAATACATTAGCACAGCTCACATCGTCTGTCATGTACTGATCAGGCTGCTTGAATGTGAACTTCGAGGTTGGCGTGGAGGGTTCTTCAGGTACCACGACGAGGTAGTAGTGGGCGATGGGGCCGTACTCTTCAGAGGCCTGGGGCAAGATCATGGCGATCTCGTGGGGACCCTTCACGCCGTAGAAGTCAGGCTTCACCATGGGTTGCGGAGCTGTAAATAAAAGAACGAGTTAGACACAAGAATATATACGAATAGCGAAGAGATTGTCAGAAAGAAAATATGAGGCAAACTGCTCAATAAATGTTCAGAAAGATTCATTTTCCGTTCTATAACCTCGAGTTCAAAAAAATTAAAACACGTATTGCTAAATTTCCACACATCGAATTCAAGTTGCACCAAAAAAGAATAGGGGCATTCAACAAGCTCAATCAATCTCAAATAAAATTAGCTAACGGCAGGAGCTTCTGAAATTAGTAGCTAAATCTCCCAAGTTTGAATCTTAGCGAATACATATCAAAAACTGAATTAGTGGAAAAAATGAAATCTTAATTACTCTGGTGTTTTATTTTACTTCGAACACTTACGAGTCAGTGATGATAGTTAAAAATAATTGGGCGGCAGGGTCATTAAATAATAATTGGCCGCAAACAAGTATCACCAGAACTAGGCTTCACTTCAATTAAGCATCAAAAGATTTTATCACGTCGCCTCTTAAGCAACTTACCAGCCATCTGAGTAGTGACAGTTATCCTGGCAGGAGGTCTGTAGTCGTCAGTGCTCGGTACGGCCGTCACGTTGACGGTGTAGGTTGTAAAGGGACGAAGATCTTCGATGACGTAGCTGTACTGACGCGATCCTACAACTTTTGGTTGTGCTTTGAACTCGTGCACTTGCGTCACGCCTCGAGCGTCTACGAATTCTTTGTAAGCCGAGTAAGTAACCTGCAGAAAAGATAATCTTTATTGTAACAATATAAATATTATAAAATCTTAGAAGCCGAAGATATAAGAGACCTGGAAAAAAACGTCACATGCAGAAAAGATAATCTTTGTTCCAACAATCTAAACATTATAAGATCTTAGAAGCCGAACATATAAGTGGCCTGGAAAAGCGCGTGGAGGCTGCCAATGAATGGTCTAATAATCTAGAATCTCCAATGACAGAAAAAAACATTAACTTTTTAAAACCACCAGGAAGTTTTAAGTATTACATCAATATTGTCATTCTGAAATTAAACGAAAAAAATATACATATTCGATCATCTGGATGAGAAAATATTATTTTTTCTAACCTCGATAAAAAAACCTGATGGGGGAGGGGTTAAATACCTTGTACTACTGGGGGTTAAGCCTGATGGGGGAGGAGGGGTTCAGTATCTTGTACTGCTGGGGGTTAAGCCTGATGGGGGAGGGGTTCAGTAACTTGTACTGCTGGGGGTTAAGCCTGATGGGGGAGGAGGGGGTTTAGTACCTTGTATTGTTGGGGGTTAAGCCTGATGTAGGAGGGGTTTAGTACTTTGTATTGCTGGGGGTTAAGCCTGATGGGGGAGGGGTTCAGTACCTCGTACTGCTGGGGGTTAAGCCTGATGGGGGAGGAGGGTTTAGTACCTTGTATTGCTGGGGGTTAAGCCTGATGGAGGAGGGGGTTAAGCCTGATGGAGGAGGAGGGGTTCAATACCTTATNTACAAATTACAGTAACTTAGTACATATTGCAGTAACTTGGTACAAATTACAGTAACTTAGTACATATTGCAGTAACTTGGTACAAATTACAGTAACTTAGTACATATTGCAGTAACTTGGTACAAATTACAGTAACTTAGTACATATTGCAGTAACTTGGTACAAATTACAGTAACTTGGTACAAATTACAGTAACTTGGTACAAATTACAGTAACTTAGTACATATTGCAGTAACTTGGTACAAATTACAGTAACTTAGTACATATTGCAGTAACTTGGTGCATATTACAGTAATTTAGTAAATATTGCAGTAACTTAGGACATATTACAGTAATGTACTACATATATATCATCATACATATTGCACCAAATTTTTATATTTTTACGTAATGCAGTTATTTACTAGTACATATTACGGTAACTTAGTACATATTTCAGTAACTTAGTAGATATTAATGTAATTTACCACATATTACAGGAACTTAGTACATATATATCATGATACTTATTGCACCAAATTAATACATAATGCGGTAATTTAGTACACATTGCATGCAATAATTTGCTGTTTCTTGATGGCCGCTGAAGCAGAAGGGAAATACATCTTACACTCAGGCACCAACAGTGTCTCAGGCGCTTTACGATTGCCTCAATGAATTTGAGGCAATGCTATATTATGTTATATGAATAACTCAATAAATATGAATGCCTCACTAGGAATGGTATATGCGAGGCTGCTGCGTTTGCCAGAATTATCGCTCGCGTAGCATCACAACCCATCAACATATACGAATACAACCCCATCAACATATACGAATACAACCCCATCAACATATACGAATACAACCCAATCAACATATACAATATGCCTAAAGCGACCAAAAAAGCTAAGCGCCACAACGATTTCAACATGAAAGCTAAATTTATTTCAACAAGCAGCCATAAATTTTTCAAAGTGAGACCACATTAACTTCTAGCCAGCTAACAGAATTTTAACAAACAGCAATGAACTTTTTCAGCGAAAGGTCACATTAACTTCAGCCAGCTCAACTAATTTGAAAAAAAACAGAAATGAAGTTTTTTAACATGATACAAACAGAAAATACCAACTAACTTCATGCCACCTAAACTAATGTCAACAAACATTAATAATTTTTCAAATATTTGCCCACATCATATAAAACATATACGATGTTTTACATGGTGGCAATCATATAAAACATAGCCGTTGTTTTATAAAAAAAAATATTTCTCAGTACTCACTGCAGTGAGTGACAGAGAGCGCATTTTCTCGTCGACGAAAACGTGAAGTCACGGACGGACAGAGAGATGGACGGACAGACAGACGGACAGACAGACAGATATGGCGAGCACAATAGTGCATTTTTTTCATGAATGAGAAAATGCGCTAAAAACATAGGCACCTGGTTGGTGCGGGCGGCGACTTTAATGCAAACTAATGTCAACAAACATTAATAACTTTTCAAATATTTGCCCACATCACATAAAACATATATGACGTTTTTTATATAGTGGCAATCATATAAAACATAGCCGTTGTTTTATATAAAACATAGGCACCTGGTTGGTGCGGGCGGCGACTTTAATGCCGTACTCGGCGTGCTGCTCGAGGTTGGGCAGCTCGGCGGAGTGCGTGACGGCCGTTTGTAGCTGCTGCCACTCCTCCATGTCGGGCGTCGGGGACATCGAGTAGAAAACCTGCCCAATAATAATAATATTAATAATATAACTCAGTACTCACTGCAGTGAGTGACAGAGAGCGCATTTTCTCGTCGACGAAAACTTGAGGTCACGGACGGACAGACAGACAGACGGACAGACAGACAGATGGACATGGTGAGCACAATAGTGCATTTTTTCCATAAATGAGAAAATGCGCTAATAATATAGCAATTTCAGCGTTTATTACTCCGTAGGTCTGTCTCCGATTCTTAACATCGCAGAACATCCACTGCATGTTGCGGGCTTGAACACGTAACTTACTGCTTCAAATTATTTTTGCTTAACCGCCCGGCCTCCTCGCCGATTCTGACCAGAAACTGGCGCACAGAGCTGGGATCAAACCCGCGCCTCTCTGCGCCAATCCTGGTACTCTGAACTTTAACCTCTGGACCACCCGTGTTCTACTAATACCCATGGGTTCTACTAATAATGCACTCTAACAACTCACTCTGTTACCAGAAACGAGGAAATGATCAAAGGATAGAATCGTGGGCAAGGAATTTATAGACTCACAAATGATGAGGTTCTTTCCTGTTTATATTTAATCAACGAACATTCGATTCGAGTAGGTATAACGCAGTGTACACAAAAACGGAAATAATAAACCGGCGATTTGTGTCTGAACCACGCAATGTATATTCATACTAAGATAATGAACTCCCAATTCATGCTTGATCTAGGCAAAGAATATTCAAACCAAAGTAACGAATTTAGGACCCCATTCAAGAAACAAAGTATTCAGTCACTAAACTTTAGATTTATATTAAGGGTACTCGAAATAAATCACATGATATGAATAAAGGAGTCGATATGAATCACCTGTTATGAATGATATACCATACAAGTTTCCCTCACCTTGTAGCCGATGAGTTTGCCATGGGAAGGCACAGGCTCCCACCAGATCTCGATGCTGGACTCAGAGGTGGCCATCCCCTGCAGGTTGACGGGCGCTCTCACCAGGTCTTGCTGCGTCGTGAACACCAGGTCTTGGCTGTACGGGCCGGGCCCTTTGTTCGTGCTCGCTCGCACCTGGACAAGGAAAACGCAAACGTTAACAATTTTTTTATATATCATTGTATATATTGTATATATTATTAACAGAGAAGAATGACAGGGACAATAGACATTAAGGTTTAAATCTCGAAGAGTTAATGCACAATCGTTTCATATTGCGTCATCAGTATTGAAATAAAGCAAAATTAACGAGAAATAAAATCAGGCAAAAGACAAAAATGATAAAACTGCATTTTTAAAATACAAAAGAACACCAATTAATCCGAATAGCAACGGTTAGCAAATCACACATCCAGTCACGAACCTTGAAGGCATATAGCATTGCATTTTTGCAGTTGAAGGCAAATCACGAACCTTGAAGGCATATCGCATGTTTTCGTCAAGCCCATCGAAGACTTTCTTATTTTGCGTGGTGTTGCCAACGTAATTGTAGTCGTTGTTCAAGGAGACGTCTTTCTTGAACTGAATGTCGTACCTTATGATGGCACCGTTACGTTCACCGGGCGTTGGGGGGTCCCAAGTGAACACGATCGTTCCGGGAGTTTGATAGCTGATAAAGTAACGACCATGAGAGAAACAATCAAATGCAGGTTACTTAAAGGGAAAATTGTTCAATATAATTTTCGTCTTTTGTGAAAAATTTTCATGAATATATTTATTAATAAAAATATAAATATCTATTCATAAAAATATTTATGTATCAGATAATTTATGAGAGAAACAATCAAATTCAAATTACCTAAAGTGAACATTGTTCAACTTAATTTTTGCCTTTCGTCAAAAATTTCGTCAAGTACAGATATGCATCAGATAATTTATACACATATACAATCCATATATATTAAAAATTTTCTTATTGTTTTTTTTTTCAATTAGCCGAACGAAATTTATTGTCGGTGCTTGGAGATCGTAAAGTACGCTCTGGTCTTCAATCAAACATATACCGTAAAATGGGGTAACTTAGACCGGCGGGGTAACTTAGACCACTTTTCGTTTTTTTAATAAAAACCCCCACAACTCAAAAACTATTTGACATAGAAAAATTTTGTCAATGGGCATTAAAGGCCTAATACTGAGGCTACATAACACAATAGAAAGATTTGAAAAGTTTGCATATCTAATAGGTTAAAAAATTAAAAATGTGACCCACAAAAAAAAGTTTTTGAAATTACATAAAGACTATGAGAGGCAGGAGCCAGCAATTTATGGTGAGTGAAGCTAGAGTATAGACCTGTATTTTGCATGTTTCAATTCAAGTTTAATTTAGCTAGTAAAAAAATGGCATCATTTATAGAAAAAAAGTGGTCTAAGTTATCCCATTTTACAGTATTTATATATAGGTATATATATTATATGTTTATATAATATAATTGATTATACTATATATTTATATAATATAATGAATTATATATTTATATATAGACAAGTCAGCTATCTCACCGGTATGATATGTTTGTAGGCGGACCAGATGGAGGTGCCTCAGGAGTGCTGTAGAGACGCACAGCTTCTTCACCGTAATCCAGTCTGTTCTTAGCCGAGACTCTTATCTCGTACTGCACCCCGCGCTGCAACTCGTCTAGGGTACGGTGCAACATTGTGTTGCCTTGCAGCGTCACCGTCTGGAATGGCTCCCCTGAACCAAACAAATACCATCGAGATATTTTAGTATTCAGTGACTAAAATAACCGTAAATAAATTAAATAAAATTAAACAATAAATAGAACAAAATTAGAGTGTTGTGATCAAGAACGGTCTGGAATGGTTCACCTGAACCAAACAAATACCATTGAGATTATTTTAGCATACAGTGACTAAAATAACTAGTGATAAATAAAGCAAAATCAGAGTGTTGTGATCAAGAACGGTCTGGAATGGCTCCCCTGAACCTAACAAGTTAAATTGAGATTATTTTAGCATTCAGTGACCATACTAACTAGTGTGAAATGTAACAAAATTGGAGTGTTGTGTTCAAGAAACCATACAAATACCATTGAGATTTTTTTAGCATTCAGTGATTAAAATAACTAGAGTGAAATATAACAAAATTAGAGTGTTGTGATCAAAACAAATGCGGATTAGCCATAAGGCGAAAAACATTAATTCGTTAGTTTAGCAGCGAACATCTCTTCTGGCATTATTTTTCCAGCAACGATTTCCATCAGTAAATTCAATTTGAAGAAATTCAGATCTCTACCGAACGTGCACTAGCCGAAGTGCTTGGACACGAGGGCATCGAAAAAACAACAAAGACGAGCATCAGTAATTTTGTATTTCAAAACAGATTATAGGAACTTTTTAACACGAATTATCCAAATTATAGAAATGACAGAAATTTTGCCAAGAAGTATAAAAAAAGTATTATGGAAGATGCCAGATTGATCTATCGAACTAAGTAATAACTTATTTTATTTAAAATTAATAGTTTAATTCATCTTATTAAAATTTTTTTTATATTTTGGCATTAAAAATTTCAAATTAAAACATTTTCCCCTCACTAGTATGAATTTATTCAACATTCATACTTAAAAACAGACATAAACGAGGATCTATCACGACCACGGTAAAGTGTTACGTCCAACTGAGCGTTCTGGTCTCAGTCAAATCAGAGACGATTCAGAGCCGATACGGAGACACAAGCTGAGACCGCCAATCAATAGAACACAACAAACTGATCCAGAGATTATAGTTGTCTCCAGCCCAGGAGTTCCGTAGCAAGACTCAGGGAGCGAGGCAATGCAGTAATCGGCTTTATTAGCCTCAAGGGCTAAGGTTCTCTTCGACTTCTCGATAAATGGATGGACGGGTAGCTGAATACCGCGCAGGTTCTTAACGGTTCTGTAGGTTCGAGAGGCTAGATCCTTTAAAGGTAAGAGCCTCGCGGCAATGTCCTTAGGAGAAAAAAGTAGAAATTCGCATCGCAAGACGCAGTACGATCGACTGCTAACGAGCTCTCAGCCATAATTGACTCAAAAGCTCCAAGCATTTAATTTTAGTTCTCTTCCTAATACTGTTATTTGAGGTAGTAAATAAATGAATTATTACAAGATGTATTAAAATAAAAATTGTCAACATCTTAAGGCAATGCAACACCTCAAATAATAATCTCGAACAGAAAATCATGTCGATTATTCCACATTTTATTCATATTCATTAACGATTCCAATATCATTAACTTTTTAACCCGATCTACACATACAAGCCAAATAGTCAGAAATTTAGGAAGTTTGCACATCGTTCGAGACCAGCAGGCCAACGCGTATTTAATGATTGATTAAAAATGATAATGATAATGATTAAAATAGAGCAACCAGCAGCCGAATTTACGCAAGAAAATTATCACGAGCTGAGAAACTTCACACCGATATCACCATGAAAAAAAGGAGATCTGAAAACAAACTTGCCACGTCACAGCCGACGGAGGGAGCCTCTCTCTTTAATTGCTTGAGAGCAAAAGTTAAGCACAAAACTAGAAGAATTGGACACTATAGCGTCGAAATGTTAAGTTCTAGTCGCAGTCTCACAGTCGGCGGCTTCCATTGCAGTGAAAGAATTCCAAAGTAAAGTTCCTAGCAATAATTGTAGTAGAACGAACAGCAACAGGCGTAACAGAATACGAAACAGCAATAGGGGATCGGCTCGAATAGAGACAAGTTCTTTTACAAAACAAATCCATGGGTTGGATTTACCATGGAGCACAACATTTAGACTTCACTTGTTCGAGGCGCATGAAGGCAATAAGCAAGAACGCGATTTGACACGCGATTTACAAAAAAAAAAAAAACTGAAAAACCATACCTGAAACACAAATAAAAAAATAAGCATCACATAGGAGAAAATGTCTTGCAAAACTTAAGTAATTGTGCCGAATAAGATGAAATTTTAAATTTCAAGGGAACTAATAAATGTGAATGTCTCTTTTACCACAACTCAAAGAAATGAGAGGTTTATTGTCCACATAGCAATGCACTTCTCACTGTTTTGCACTCCATCACCCTGAGAGTTTGGTCTAACAAAAAGGTGTATCAATGCTACGTCCTGCGTGCTGCGGGTAACAGAATGTGTCACGAATTGAACTACGTGACCCATTCATATTTCAGATTGCAGAGAAAGGCACCTAATATACCAAAAATAAAACTCAATACTCACTGCAATGAGTGACAGAGAGCGCATTTTATCGTCGACGAAAACGTGAAGTCACGGACAGACGGACAGACAAACTCACAGACAGACGGACATGACGAGCACAATTGCGCCTTTTTTCCATAAACGAGAAAATGCGCTAAAATAATTTAGACATCTCCCTGACATACAAAGAAGTTTGACGTACCAACAGGTCCGTAGCGCAGTCTGTAGCCCTGCACTTCTCCATAGGGCTGAGTTGGAGGCACCCACTCTACGTAGACTGACAACTTGCCGCTGAATTTGTCAACTGTGCCACTGTAACGAACAAGTTGCTAAGTGTTAACAACACATTTCATAATTCATACACTCATAACTCAACTGCAAATTTAGTTAATTCCATAATACGACGATGGACATTAAAGCTAAGATGCATCTGAACTCAAAATGAAAAAAAGTGCCCTGAACTAATCAACTTAGAACATGGATAAGAATGTCATTAAAATTAGGTAACAATTATTCTTAAGTACAAGCGAAGGTAAAAATTGGAAGAAAATTGCACAAAATATAGAGTCGTAGACATCTTAATAAATGTTCTGATTGACGGGATTAATTCAACAATAATTCCTTTATTAGCTATTTAATACTTGGTATTGCGATCTGACTAATCGCAGAGAATCAGTCATTAGATCGAACTAAAATTAGTTTTAAAACAGCGCAGAGAAAAGCGATTATCTTTTAGAAGATCAAAACTCCTATAATTATTGTGATTAATTACCACGTTTTTCTTGACTTCGTTTCGTGTGTGTCTGTCATCAAAAATTCAAACCTTAACAACATTACATAACATTTTACATAACTTAAATGTTATGTAAGAGTAAATGTTTTTCTTTTTTGTCCGTTAAAAAAAACGTGGTTTTTAAAAGTTTGTTTTATTTATTTTATTTGAAACTCACTTGACGGTGATGAAAGGTTTGTTCGGGACGCCGCCCGGTGTGGTGATCCTTTCAGGGTTCGATCTGGCACCGTCTCCCTTGCGGGTGAGAGCTGCAACTTGTACCTGAGAGGGCGATTGGAAATTAACACCGTAATTAAGATACGAATCAGTATAACATGCTGGCAAATCTTTGTTGAGCAGTCAGTTAATATTTTTAACCTAACCACCTAACCTTAGAGGGCGATTAGAAAGAAGAAGTACCTAACCTTTTTAACTTGACCTAACCTGAGAGGGCGATTGGAAAGGAGGATGAAAAACACAACAATTAAGATAAGAATCAGTCAATATGCTGGCAAATCTTTGTTGAGCAGTCAGTTACAATTTTTAACCTAACCTAACCTTAGAGGGCGATTAGAAAGAGGATGAAAATGCACGGCAATTAAGATACGAATCAGTCAATATGCTGACAAATTTTTGTTACAAGCAGCCAGTTAACATTTTTAACTTAACCTAACCTGAGAGGGCGATTGGAAAGGAGGATGAAAATGCACAGCAATTGAGATACGAATCAATATGATGGCAAATCTTTGTTATAATCAGCCAGTTAACAATTAGAATGTTTTGCTGAAGGTTTTTAGGTGATTAATCGGTTCATCTTAAAACTTTGGAGCATATGTTTGCTAGAAGTTAACATATGAATGATCAATACGCATGACGCTATACCTTCTTTTCTTTTCATGGTGACACACTAAATTAAATCTCAGATGCAAATAACTAAGCACCCGAGAATTAAGATTAGAGAAATAAACCATATGTATGATATTAAGTGCAGAGGTCACAATTGCGATCCCGTCACGCTTAAACAAACCACGATGATCCAGAAAAACAAACATAACGTATCGAATTGAATAGCCATTTTAGGTGCCGGGCACTGATGAGGTACATAAAAAAGAAAGGCACCGAGCACCGAGTCAGACGTAGTAACGCCGAGATAAAAACAGAAACGTAAATAAAAATTAAAGGCCGGGCCCTGAGGTGCATAGAAAAGAAAGGCACCGAGCACCGAGTCACACGTAGTAATGCGGAGATAAAAACAAAAACGTGAAGAGAGTCTCACAGTTATCTGATCTTCAACAAGAGCTCCCAAATAAACATTAAACTTTAATTTTTTTCTGGAGTCGCTCGGTGCGACGGTAGGCAATTTCACTGAAATTCTTTTCGACGGGACAAACTACAAGCACAAATAGCCGGGAAAGAGTATCGCACTATTTAATTTTTGTATCAACGCGCAATGACATCTTACTGGCAAAATATATCATCATAATAATAGGCATAACTTATATTTTGATGCGGCATTTTGAGTGAAGATTGAGTGCGACTAGGCAGAGCGCTTCTACTTCGTGTAGGCCCGCCACCACACTAGACCACCTTGGTCCCCCGCCCAGACCCACTTGGTCCCCCGCCCAGACCCGCGACTAGACCCGCGACTAGACCCACCTGGTACTGCGTGTCGGGGTCCAGGTCTGTGATGACGTAGGAGGTTGCGTCCCCCTTGTGGGTGGTGTATGGGCGACCCTGACCCTGAGGGATAACTTCCGAACCCTGGATTTAAGTTCAAATTAAAATAAATTAATTCATATTATATTAAAAAAATATTTTGTACATTATTAGAGTGACGGCAGTCAATGTTCATGAAGCCCTAAATAAGAAGTTAAACAAATTAAAAATTAATATATATCATCTTGAAGAAATTCTGTACATCATTAGAGTGACGGCAGTCAATGTTCATGAAGCACTAAATAAGAAGTTAAAAAAATTTAAAATTAATATATATCATCTTAAAAAATTCTGTACATCATTAGAGTGACGGCAGTCAATGTTTATGAAGCCCTAAATAAGAAGTTAAAAAATTAAAAATTAATATATATCATCTTATAAAAATTCTTTACATCATTAGATTGATGCCAATAGATGTTCAAGAAATAAGAAATTGAAAAATTAATAAACAAAACAAAACATTTTCATATGTTCATTACTCTCCGCTGAAAATGGTGTAGTCGAAAAATACTGGATTACTGGACAAGACAAAGATCGCAATTAAAGTGCACATAAAAAATCATCAGTGGTGTAATATTTCACAATTGACATAATTACAAAATTACAATTAAAAATACACGTATACGGGAGATGCTTACACTAGACGTGACGGCCTGGACGTGTATCTGATAGCCCCGTATGATGCCGTGTCGCTCGCGCTCGCTAGGCGCGCTCCACTTGACTTCGATGCTGGTGCTGTTGAGGACCTTCACGTCGACGCCTCGCGGTTCCCCGGGCACTGAGGTACATAAAAAAGCCACCGAGCACCGAGTCAGACGTAGTAATGCCGAGATAAAAACAAAAATTTAAATAAAAATTAAGGGCCGGGCACTGAGGTGCATAAGAAAGGAAGGCACCGAGCACCGAGTCAGACATAGTAACTCGGAGATAAAAACAAAAATTTAAATAAAAATTCAAGGCCGGGCACTGAGGTGCATAAAAAAGAAAGGCACCGAGCACCGAGTCAGACGTAGTAACGCCGAGATATAAACAGAAAGTTAAATAAAAACTGGAAGCTTGTTGATACATTTTTCTGCCACTTCAAAATTAATGAACGTTTGCATGGGTGCAATCTAGTTTTTCACGAGATAATTTGGTATTGTTCTGGTAGTGAATAAATGTAGGAAGGAGTTTTGATACACAAGAATTGACTTAACCATTGCACGATCGGGCCCCACTACAAAAGAATGGAACAAAACTGACTTTAAAATAAAGTCAACAATAAGGCAAATAAATAAGTATGCGCGTATATTGTTTGCAGGACAATTTGAATGGTTTCAATGATGAGACAGGAGACCACATATTAGGCACAGCTAAGAAATATCGTTGGTTGGTAGTGGATTAGTATAAAGGTAAAAGTAGTACATTAACGATGTAGAGGTAGAAGTAGTGGATTATATATTGATGAGTCTGCTTGGCGATACAAGTGAAAATAGTGCCGCGTGTCTGCTGCAAAAACTGTAAGAGATGTCAGAATAATGTGCTGTGGGAAATCGAGGAGATGAGAGTTATTCCCGCGACCATGTTAGTAACAGATCAATTTGGTCTTTTTGAAAATAATAATTAACAATTTAATAATGCTTAGTTGCTCTTGTAATCAACATAAAGTCATGTATAGAACCATAACCATAGATTAATAAGCTGAAATTAAGAAAGATATAAATAGTGTAAGAGTTCAGACAGGCGGTAGCGTCATCAGTAATTAAATTTTGATGTCAATTTTCAATTAATGTAAACTCAAGTCCATGAACCAATAACACTTCCAGATGACCCTCAAATTACAATAAGAATTATTAACCACAATTTGATAATTAGTACAAATCAGAAAAAAATCACTTGCTTCATCGCTTTCTTTTAAATGCATTCATCGTTTATATGTGAAAGAACAAATTTAGAAATATTCATTTATTTATAACAGCTATGGATGGCACCCACAGTATAATCTTCCGAAAACATTCCGGTAAAACTTTCCAAATTTATTTGAGTAATTTTTACTTGTAAAACCCAAGTTACCGAAATCGTTCAAAAAATGTAACAAATATTTATATCAAATTACCATTTTCTGGTTGAATACCTGATGAAGTGACAGCATCGGGAACAGGCGACTTAACTTTGAAGGCTTAAAATGTATCCAAAACGTCGGGTATAACAAGGCTATATGAGGCTCCAGGTGACACCAAAGCCAATAAGGCGGTTGGTCACAAACGAAACAAGAGCAAGTGCATCTAATAGAATCAATTGTGGGGAATATTTCTCTCTAATTAAACTGGCTGTCTAAAACTAAGAAGAATAGTGCAGGTGAGGGGTACCGAGGTCTGCATGGATGGGTAAGGGTGTTTCGGAGGTTAGGGTGGTTGAAATTTCAACAGCAGTTCAAGAATAAAAAATGTGCGAAATTGATCAGATATTCATCAACAGGAGGAGGAATGATGATGGCATAGTTGTAGCTATTTGACATAAAGCCGAGTAAGGAATAATGAATAACAGGAATATATGAAGTGCACATACACGTTTTACGACCGTATCGGTCTTGTCTAGATAACGATACCATAGGCGCTAATATGAGACATCATGTTCATGGTGATTTAAACATACTCATCGAAAATATGGAAGTTTATTTTATTCAGTTATTGCGTGAGAGAATAATTTGAAAGAATTAAGCAAACTTCGAAAATATATCACGTCAGTTACATTTTACAGTGCGTGCAGCTCTGAGCTATCACCGCGACATCGATTGATATAAATACGTTGGAATAATATAGTTTAATTTGTGTTAGATTTTTCTTGAATGTGTTCATAAATGAATTCTATACAAGAATCTTAGATCGAGATTCAAACTAGGAAATCATGATTGAAACTAATAGACGTTTGATTTTGTGTGTAGGCTTTCAACAACAAGTGAAGTGAGTGAAAAAGTTCAACATGAGTGAATTCTTTGAATGAATATGAATGAATAATTTTTTCATTTTTCTACAGGAAGCGTTGCTAGGGCTCTAACACTAAGGATAAATTGACTACAAAAGCCACACATGCAGGGTAGTTTGATAGGACAAAAGCAGGTTAATAAGTTAATTTACAGCGTCATATCAAATAAACAGAAGAAAAGAAATGAAAAACAGCGGCTTGAAGAATAGAGTCAGAACTAATAGTCCAGGGTGAACAGGTCTCGGGGAAAAATCAGGTGAAAAGTTCCTTGAAGCTTCTCTAAAAGTGCTATAGGATGATATTTTTATGACTGCATTTAAAGAAAAGAGGAGTAAACAAAGTCGTGACTGATGACTATGAAGTGGTATTCTAATAACTTTTATCAAAAAATTTACTTACCATCCCCTTTAGCTGTCATTTGGAGGCGAGAGAGAAAGAAATAGAAAATACGGCCATCAATATAACGCCAATGAGCATTAGGCAATAAGCAAATAAGCGATGCAGACGGAAGTTCAGCGAGGAGATATATGTTACGTTTTAAAAATACGGGAGCGTATATATACTGTTCAGTTAATGCGATGCAAGAGTTTCTTCTATGTTGTTTATGTCGATGGTGCAATAAGGGTCGATATATATAGACTACAATGTAAACACTACTTCTAATTACTCATACAAGAAAGCGAGAGAAAGAAGAAACGGCAGGACAGATATAATGAGAAGAATAAAAGACGTGGAGACAATATCGTAAAATTTTCCCTAAATTATAATAAAACAATCAGAATTGTTGTCTAAAACTTCTAAGATAGCTACGATTACTCCATGATCAAAAAACGGACAGAGGAAACACTGAAGATTTTGGACATGGATACCCAATATATGTACGTAAAATAATAGCAGCTTGGGTTGAACAAATCCACTACATTTTGAATAAATTAATAATGCGATATCTTGATTCAATTAAAAAATCCTTGGCTAAACAAGCCAAAACATTCAAAATTTATCACAAGAAAGAAAGAGAATAGCTCTCATTTTTCTCCCATAACAACAATTTACTGAAAATATGTCACACATCTATACACTTATACATTTTCGATAGGCTTTTGCCCTCAGAATACGGGAGAGTATTCTTATATTATTTTCGTATTTCAATACAAAAACAATGAATAATGCTAAGTATTTAAGATAACAGCCGAAATATTCATAAGCTTCAAGTTGTTTAAATGACTAATGTAAGAAGCTATAACGGCCCCTAACCAGCGTCAAAAATCCACGCACACAATGGGAAAAGTTAGTACAGAAGAAGCAAGAAACCACCAAGAAGTTAAAGCAAACAGAATGAAGAGACAAACAAATAAACAAATTATTTAGTGTATGTGCGTTGATTTAAGTGCATCATATCGATTTCTTGCGGTTCATGCTTTAATAAGTCGTTAAGTTAATCAAAATGTGATAATTTATGCAATAATCTACAGTTTCAACATGCCAAAAGAGAAAAGAAAATAACTATCTATTTTGCCTTAATAGAATACTAAGCGCATTAATTAAGTACATTCTGAATAAAACCAGCTGAATTATTTTGCAGCGACATTTATATAGACCAAAAATGCTCTATATAACACCGAAATCTCGGCTAAATAATATTCCTAGTCTAAGTGATGGACATAATGTTGTAAATAACACATACATACATAAGGTAAATTGATCAGTCGCTATAAGCAAATTAGTATAAATTTGATTTAATAAAGGAATCGTTCAACTCTGGTTTGTGACTGCCCGCTCACATAGTAAATAAAGACGCCAGGCTGATACGGCCGTCAAAATTGTTCAAATGCAATAAACTAGAGAAATTTTAGAGAAATTGGAGCTCTAAAGCATAAAATAAAGATAAAAACACTCTCCAACGGAAGAGGAAACTAGTGATACGGAACTGTTGAAGTGTAAAATAATGTAAATTGGAGCTCTAAAGCATAAAATAAGGATAAAAACACTCTTCAAATGAAGAGGAAAATAGTGATACAGAACAGTAGAAGTGTAAAATAATGTGGAATAAGATATAGTGGACTAACGATGACAAAGCAGATGCATTACCAGCCATATCAGAAAGCCCATCATTATAAAAAGGCGAAAAGAAATGCATCGGACTGTTAAGAAGACACAATAGGTCAATATCTGAGAAAATAGATGTAAGCGTGACACTGCATGTATATGCAATAGCTTAACGGTTTAGTATGCATGGTGGTGGGTTGACTGCGTGGTAGCATTACAAATGAATCTCCGACGCTATCTACAGAGCTGAAGAGACCTCACTTCATTTCAATAACGATTCAATCCTAAAAACAATGTTAAAAATGTACGCGTCTTGAAATGAATTGCCTGAATGTCATGTATTTCTGTGACAGGTCAGTTCAACTGAAAACTTCTAACCAGTGTTTCGAACTTGAGAAAATTTCAAATTATTTATAAATATATTTCAAGGTAATGTAAAGAATTAGCATTGTCATTCCATACGAAGCGCTTGTAATAGTGTTTCCCAACTTTTTTTTGGTCATAACTTTTACTTGGTGATCTGATACAAGTAGGAAGGCCGCAAAAAAACATTCGGTGCCATTCCGTAAGAGAGACACAACACATTGGCCACTAATTTATAATGTTAGTAATATAGTATCAAACCTAACGGGCTGACAATCAACACTGTAAATGAATGTTCTCTTTGAACATAATGTGAAACTGATGCTTGATGGCTTGTGACAAAATCAAATAACTACCAGATTATCTTGAGCTAAACGGTACACACTTTTTGTATAAAAACTAAATAAATTTTTAACTAAGCGCGTACCACGGGTTGGGAACCACTGGATTACAATGAGCGCAACTCCTTGTATGATAAGTTGCACGTTATATAAATTTATATTGATGATGTACAATGTAAATAAATGTTGAATCAGGTTTGTTAGTTCATTAGGTCATCTTCAGTTCACGCGATAGCGTCGAGTAAACAAGAGCGTTCGTTGTGGAGGTTTATAATGAAGGCATAAGCATGTTATAAGAAGTATTATGGAAGAAAAGTTGTAAATTTAGTGGCTTGAAGGCGTTGTTTAGTGCAGGCATCGTTTATTAATGCGTTGGCTGGATAGGTGGGTACATCGTTGGGGCATGGATGTCGGGGACGGTAAAAAAATCGATATCGGGTGATAATAAAATTGATGGGAACAGAAAACTTACTATTGACCAAAATGAAATATTAACTTATTTAAACGTGAATAGCAAATCTAATTCCTGGGAAAAACGGAAATATGTATAATAAACATTTCTGTCGATCGAAATCAATTCGGACTAAACACCAGAAGATGTGTACCGAAACAATATTAAAATTCGAATAACAGTAATCGTGAGAGAACATATACATCAACTGAAGTCTCAGAAATTCAAAGTGGTCTATGTAAATAAAATATCTGCAATGCTCGATTGTCAAAACATTACCATGATCAGTTCCCAACTTATCGATTTCATCGGAAATAAAACCAAGTTTTGAATAAATCAGAAGAAATTACAGACGAATGGAAGGACCATGTAAGGATATGGAGGAGTAGGACGGGTTGTGGATTCAGATATTCGGCAAAAAAATCTCGGGTGTTCAGAGCTACTTACAAGTGTTCCGTGGTTTGCAAGAGCATGTGGGGGCTCGTGGTGTTGCTGTCAAATTAAATCTATGGTCTTCCTATATAACAACACCGATGAATTTTCTTCCCTACGTGCCACAGAAATCTGAGCTTTTTTAATTTTAGTAATTTTGGATCAGTTATGAATAAAAATAACTAGTTTTGACGCACTGCTAATGCTTGTGAATCCGTTAATGTATATATTTCAATAAATAATATTATTTACTCAATTGAAGATACCCCAATAATAAGAGAAACTAAATATATTGATACGACACCCTCGACATATGACTATGAACTTTTAGTTTGAGTTACCAATTCGCTCTTGTAATGTTAACATTGTCATATAAAGAGGCGGCTGATGTACGTAGGTGCTGGAAAGAAGAGAACACGGCTAGAAGATGTAGGCAATGAAATGTCTTCCTGTAATGGAAATAATATGCACGTGTTAATTATTGGGCATGTTTGGATGGAATAAAATTATTGAACATGTCTGGCTGGAATAAGTGAGAGTGTGCATGGTTCTCCGGCCACCGTACGTCGTGGTTGCAGTGCATGGTGAAGACAGCATCCAGGTCTCCCTGGTCGTTGTAATTGGTATCAAGTTAATGTGATCGTTGTAATTGGTATTAAGTTAAACGTACAAAAAATGCAGCACACATAACTCATAATTAATGTTGATTCGAAGATAAACAAGTAAATATCCTTAAGTGAATAATTATAGCGTGCACTTGCAAAATTTAAAACTAAAATGTCCATTGTGGAGATATTTACAAGTATCTGGAATTCTGTGTAAGTAATAAAATGTAAAATTGCTGTGCAACGTATTTCCATGTTAATACTCGATAAATCAAGTAATTTTCACGATATTTTTTGAATTGGGACATTTATTCAGGTTCGAGTGGCTGAATTCACTGCAGAGTTGTGGAGAGAATATTCGTAGAGTTTTGAGAGACGGAAGAATTTATTGGAAGGCTGTAAATAACCGACGAGCAGGTGTGACGCCAGTTAATTAATGTCTATACAAATGAAAACTCCATTTGTGTATCCCAAGAATAAGTTCGGTGGAGAAGCCCTGTGAAATAACACAACAATAGTAGTGCTGATAAGAGAGATACTATGGGAGATAAGGTGGCATGCAGCGGGGGAGTACATATCCCAGTAAAAATTTAGAGACGCGGCAGCTTCTGATTTGGGATTACCAGAAGCTGGGGCGACTCTAAATTTTGTTAGGGATTATAACGAGTGCTGTGCTAGAGAGAAACGAACGTGAGCGTTCAAAATAGTGAGACACGCGTGAGTTATAGTGCCGAGATCATAGCTAAGGAAATAGCAATGTGCTGATGTGCTTAAAGCTTACTCCCCCTTCGTAGTCAAAATAGCTTTGCCCGAACAAGCCAACAATTTCTTTAGTACTGTCACGCTCTTATAAAGCCTTCATAAATGCTTAGAAACACAAATTTGAAAGAGTTGCACAAGAGATAACCCCAATGTAAGGTTTTCTTCAGTGACACGGAAGGCATTAATGTTAATATATATAATTTAACACATATTAAAAAGCCTGTAACAGCACAAAAACAACTTGACAGCGAGTAAGGAAATGTTGCTGTTCGGTCAGAGTTGAGCTGCCTACTTTCTAGGCAAGGGAACTTATTCATCATTCAGCACATAAATTAGAGACAAACTAGATGCTGCATAGCCTGGCTTTGCTGCAGCAGCGCACGGCATGAGGCCGTGACTGAAGCATTAAGCTATTGCTGGCACACATCTCTATACACAATATAATCCAATGTAACAACCAAATTCCTAAACTCATTGATTATATAAGAAATACACTGGGGATTTATTATTAAAAAACAGATAATATTTTTCGATTATCATAGAGAAAAGTTCATTTCAAAAGCCTTCCAATTGAAGGACCATTTAACTGTGTTCAAAAGATACAAGTAGAAAATTACATCTCCCTACATAGTTCTCACACCAATAAATTGAGAATAATCTTATTATTCGCAAAGGCTACAAAATTGTTTGCTGAAGGCAAGAAATATTTTCATATAGAGCTTATATTAACAATATTGCCTATAGAAGACTGACAGTACCCATCCAAGCTTTAATACTGTAATTACAAACTATCCTGTAGCCAGAGACATTCACGGTTATATTTATACTTCAACTAACACTTATCATTAAACAGACTAATGAGGATTTCAATTCAATTAATCAATGATAGATTATTTTTAAACCGCATAGACCCACGCTCGAGTATCTCACTTAGATAACAAATCATGAAAATTATTTTTTCAGTGTTGTCTCACGTAAGAAACTAGAAAACGGCGAATCGTTATTAAGTTTTTTAACGTTACCGATAACCTCTCACTATCATGGACGGAAAATATCGTGAAAAACACCACAATCAACTTAACTCCATATAACACTCACCATCCTCGTCGGTGCGCACCATGATAGGGTCGGACTTGACCCCTGCACCAATACTCGTGCCCGCAGTCATCCAGACGCGATACTCGGTCCACTTCTGGAGACCGGTGATGACGAACTCTCGCTCGTTAGGGTCTGGTATTTTGACCTCACGTGCATCGTCGTCACTCAGGCTGCTGTTAACGTACATCAAAGTGTAGAATGTGATGTCGCCGTGCTGCAGCTCCGCAACTGGAGGCTCCCAAACTACACGGATGCTCTCGGACGTCTCCGAAAATGCTTGGATGTTTTGCGGTGGACCTCCGGGAGCTAAACAGTACATGATTTTGTCATTAAAAATTACTTGTTTTGTGCATGCAATTTTTCTTTACATTTACAAGAAGATTGCCTCAAATTTCTTTAGCCTTAAAGGTAATCTAAAAATTGTCCACAATAGTATTTCAATAGCTCTGCGAACCCTGCAGAAAAGTATATTACAATGGCAAATTTTAACCGTACCAAGATCCATTGGCAAAATTTAACAGCTGCAATAAAATGACGCTAAATTTGAACAGTTGCAATTATACAAAGGTAAATTTTAATCGTTGAAATAATATACTAATACATTTTAAATTTTATAATATGACAAGTAAGGCGGCTCACTGGACTGCTCTGTTCTGACGGAGATTTTAGCGGTCTCAGCGCCCTCTCCGCGCTGGGACTTAGCAGCGAGCCAGAGACTGTAGACGGTGTTGGGGCGCAGGTCTTGCAGTACGTAGCTCTCCCCGTCGGGAATAGTGCGTTGCTGATACTTCTGCACGCAATAGTTTCGTGGGACAATATAAACAATTAACTAAATAATTCAGTGTTATCGGCAAGTGGAATAAAAATTCAGTGAATAAGTGAGATAAACAAATAAAATAATTCAGTGTTATTGGCAGGTGGAGAGTAAATTCAGAGAATAAGTAAAAAATCAAAATAATTTAAAAATACAATATCAAAATAATTTAGTGCTATCGGCAAGTGGAAAGAAAAAGGAAATTTAGAAAATAAGTAACATATACAATTAACTAAATAATTTAGTGTTATCGGCAAGTGGAATGAAAATTCAGAGAAGAAGTAACATATACAATTAACGAAATAATTCAGCGTTGTGAGCAAGTGGAAAGAAAATTCAGTAAATAAGTAAGATAAACAAATAACAAAATAATTCAGTGTTATCGGCAGGTGGAAAGAAAATTCAGTGATTAAGTATTTAAAAGTAGAATCAGAGTTATTGTGTCAGCACTCAACTAGATGGTTCAGTGCTTCTGGCACGTGGATAGAAAATTCCCCAAAGAGTGACTGAAAAAAACTTTAATTCAAATAAATGTTGTTCGAAAATGATTGAAAAATCGAAAGTACGTTTCCTGTAACGTATAATTAAATCTAAGTCACTGTTAATGGAGTCACTGAATGTCACACTCAGCGTTTCCTTTTCAAGATGATCGTTTCAAGAATAAATAAAAATAAATAAATAAATAAATAAAATGCCTGTATAGCTTTTTAAATTGGCAGATAAGTGAGCTAGATTATCCGATTTCTTGTAATACTACTTACCGCTGGGTCATTGGCATCCTGTAAGTGAAAATAAAAGTACGATTAGTACAGTTTGATCACCACACAGCAACCAATCTTTCTCAGTTGAAATTATCAGGTTTTGAGCTATATTTCACAGTCAACTTCGTAAACGTCAGCTCTATTTTATGAACCGAGCTTATTCTATTTCAGTCAATAACAATACTTACAAGTTAATGACTCGTGTGCAAATCGTTTTGAATTTTCCCGTATAATAAACAAGTGTTCTTCATGCTTGTTGAAGCCTCTCATTCCGACAGAAACAATTTCTCTCACTTAGAATGATGATGTTAAAAGCGTGCAAGTAAATTGCATGAAGCAGCACTCTTGAGATGAATATATTGAAAGCTTGTAAGAGAAAGTTAAATGAAGCAGCACTCTTTAGGATGAAGATATCGACGGCGTGCAAATGAATGACATGGACTCTTTAAGAAATGAATGGCATGGATTTTTCAAGATGAAGAAATTGAAAGCGTGCAAGTGAATAGCATGAAAGCACTCATAAGATATTGAAAGCTCGCAAGAGAAAGTCAGATGCAGCAGCACTCTTTAGGATGAACATATTGAAAGCTCGCAAGAGAAAGTCAGATGCAGCAGCACTCTTTAGGATGAACATATTGAAAGCGTGCAAGAGAAAGTGAGATGTAGCCACACCTTCTGAAGGCTCCAGTACAGCTCGTAGTTGATGATGTTCTCGCCCTGGTGCGAGGGCCGCGTCCAGCTCACGGCGATGGAAGTCGCTGTCACGCTCGACGGCTTCAGGTCCGATGGCTGACTTGGTACTGAGCAAATATTTAATGTTATATTTCATGTTACATTAAACATAATTACATTAATTATGTTACATTACATTACATGTGTTATGTTATATACAAGTTATATGTGTTATGTTATATAATATGTTACATTACATTAATGATGTTGAATATTTTAAAAATGCTTGATTAAATATGCTGTATCAATATTATGCTGAATATGCTAAAAATTCTTCATTAAATATGTTATGTATAATGTTATGCTAACTATGTATGTTATCTAAAACAAATCAAGTCGAAAGTTAGACAAGTCTATAAATATAATGGAAAGACTCAAGCTTTCGATGGTCGTATTAAAGAACTATTAGCATTTTTGAGAAAAAAACGTTCAGTTGATATGAACTCAAAATGCAATTGTACAAATTGATTGAAGAGTTCAGAATTAATCTGGGGTAATTTAAATAAATTATAAATATTAAAAACCGAAAATAATTATGAATCAATGATCCTGAATACAGAAAAAACGCGGCAGCTGGACGAGACGGATTCACAGATATGTTTACGGATATGAAATAACAAAATCAATACAAATGCAGGCCATATCTCAACAGGTCAAAATATCTGATGAAAATGCTATATTGCTTCACCTATCTGTAAGATTTTGATTTGATTTAAACGCAAAATTACGAAAGAAATTACGAAAGAAATATCCCGTGACAAATGAGCATCAATAAATAACATGTGCATCAATAAATAACGAAGATCAGTGAATGACAGATAAAACGTCTGGATGTTATGTAAAGAATATGTCAGCGACATCACCTACGAATCTTTTTCTTGATCATGTCAGCAAATAATTTCCAGGAAATGAACTTTGACCAACTCATTAATTAGCGTCAGAATCGCAGAAAAAAACTCGACAGATTTATTAAACTTCAACGTCACAATTTTCAAATCTTGGCATGAAGAAGCCTTTGGTTAATATATGTCATCCTAACGCCAATTAATAAAATAAGTAGACATTGGGCAGAGCGAAAACGAAATATATTAATTACCATCAAACATGGACATCACGAGCGCGGGCTTGAGAAGATTTAGCCAAAATTCAAACGATTACAATGAGGTAAAATTTATCGTACCTTGCGAAAAATATACTGAAGGAAGTGAATATCAACAATATACGAGTGTATACTTTGAAAGTGTATACGTGTACCTATACATTTTATAGGTTGTGCACATTGAAAGCTAAACCGATAAAATCTACGGATATGAACACCAGAATTTGCTTTAAAATTCGTATCAAGAATACAATACTTGAAAAGAAATGTGTGCTTTTGTTAAGTTATAATTTTCCTCTACTTCTCTTTTAACGACAGATAGGTGAATTTGTCTCATCATTATATGAATTTCATCCATCAGCTTTTACGGCTTTAAACTTTATTCATCCTGAATTATTGAGAAGCAGTTTGCAATGCATTTCAATTGAAAGCGCCATGGGTAAAGAAATTGAAAATAAAGTTAAATTAAGAAATTTACAAATAGCAGTTCAATTGATGACCTTCATTAAAGATTCTAATTATTTTAGAAATGCACGGAAATGAGTCTTCTGGTTCGTAATATTGCCACAAACGTCATGGGTTTCCAGATACTATTAATTCGACCACCGCATAAATCCTATCAGGCGAAAAATTTGGCACGTCCAAACTTAACACACATTATATTTTGACGAAAATTACGCTATAATTATCTAAAAACGAATAGAACGGCAACCGATATAAACGTATCTTTTTTAAGGAACAGAAATTCAACAATAAAAATAATAAGTCCCGCGCTAATGACTTCTAAAAAATATAATGGCCATGATAGGATCTCGCACGTCCATTAGTTCCGACTGCAACCAAGAAAGCGTCTCAGTTTGCACAGTAGCAATGACATGAAATTTTTAGCTATCTTCTTAAGGAACAGGAAGCGAGCTCATTAATTATTATTACTTCACAGCAATACCATCAGTTGAGTCTTGAGTCGGACTGTACAGCAGTAGGTTAGACTCACAAAATAGATTAAAATTAGATGCCCAATTAGACTGGCTTGCAAAATTTTTTCACGGATTCACGAGGATTTTTCACGATAAGCTTTCGATTAGCAGAAAATTTTGTTAGTGGTTTCAAGTGTAGGTATAAATGATGTTTAATTGTAAAGCAACAATTATTTTCAACTTGTATATAAAGTAACAAAAATATTTTCCGGTGTTTTCTGTACGGCTTGAATAGCGAGAAAAATTTCAACGCTAATTTTTTTTCTTCATAATACATGAAGTTTACATTAACACTGATCACACCGAGCAGGCCAACGAACAATTGTATAAATAACCTAGTTTTCTTTTTTTTATTGAAACAAAAATCAAATCCAATTCAATGCATGAACATCCCCCAATTGTGGGCGTATTCTGCAAAATAAAAAGCGCGTCAATCGTAATAGCATGGAATAAAATCACGCTTGGTAATGCTAGTGAGAGTATCACGTTCACAAAACACTCAATGGTATAATAAACACTTTGGAGAGAATTAATTAACAATTCCTCTCATTAGACATCCAACCTGAAGTTGAATCATGACTCGAATTAGCTAAGCATGAAATATAAAACGAATGCTTGGTTTGCTAACAGTGTTAAAGTACGAATATTATAGATCACGCGTCAAGTCCAGGACATCAAGAGGCTACTCGACGGGACTTTGAATCAAATACTTGAACATTTCACCTCAAATTAAGCCATTAAAAGAATTAATGAGGGATGCAATGTTAGGTGTCAAAACCACATCATGAAGTGGACACGAGAATCTAATTGATCATCAAGTACATCGTTCAAATGACACAATAAACACGCTGAATAAAAAAGTGACAACCTAATTTCGCTAATATCAAGACACTTACTCAGGCTACAGCCAGTGATGTTCAGATACGCGAACTCAAATTCATCATTTGTCACAGACATCAATGGCATTGGAAGAGGCCATTAAACGCACGGTAAACGAATCGTCAACAAGGTTTCTAACGAGTTATCAAACTTCTAAGTAACTAGCCGCTAGGCTACACTTACGTACACTTTAAATTACATTATCTTTGAACACAATGAGAAGCAAAACTAGTAAAGGAAGTGAGATGCTGAATGGAGCGTAGACGCTCGCCTTGCAGTACCGCCGCTTTCACCGACTAGATACATACATTTACAATTAGAACTAGTAAATGAATAAAGTAAAGATTCTCACCTCCTTGCTGGGTCTTGACTTTGACAGGGTTGGAGAGGGGACCGGAACCGCTTTCACCGACTAGATACATACATTTATAATTAGAACTAGTGAATGAATCACGATGCTTAAGATTCTCACCTCCTTGCTGGGTCTTGACTTTGACAGGGTTAGAGAGGGGGCCGGGGCCCATGCCAGTAACAGCCTGTACGCAGATGGTGTAGATGCTGTGAGGTATGAGCTCGCTGATGGTAGTAAGCTTGTTCTCCTGCACCGTCTGACTCTTCCATGCCGAGATCGGCAGGCTGTCGTTGTTCGTGTAGTAGACCTTGTAGCTCTGCACAAAATGAGAATTCACGCGCGTTAGTCAAGCCACGGGTTAAATGTCCTTAAAAACAAATAGCAGAGCGAAGCATTGTGATATTAGACGTAGTGCATATACTGATACACGAATTTAAATTTAACAGGAATCGAAAAATAATATCAGAGCCAGTGTTACACATGATACAAACGAGTGCATTTGATAATGGCGCAATAATTCTGTACGAATCCCAGATTCAAGCTATTTTATGAGAACAACTATGAATAGAGAATAGTTATTAGTTAGTATTAGTATAAGTAGAGTATTATTAGTATCAGTAAAGGGTCTCGCCATCAATGAAAAAACATGGTATGTATCTAAGTATTAATATTAAGATCACTTGGTTGCTAAAGCCGCAAATTTACCAGGAATTCAAAAGTAATGAAAATAGCCAAAAAGTTCACCAGTTCTTATAACGTTTCGGAGTCCAGCTCCATCGTCAGTTCAAAATCTAGAACACAGGTACAAACAATTAGTAGCCTAAAATTCATGGTATGTATCATGACGCCACGAACCGTAATCTGGCCGTTAGGTGCCTCGGGCTCTTGCCACTGGATGACCATCGTGGATGAAGAGATTGGCCTCACGTGTACGCTGCGCGGGGCGCTACCGGGCTCTGAGGAAAGCCGTCAATGATGTTGGGCGTCAAGACGTGAAGATTTTAAATACATCAGAAATATTTGTTTTTAAATAAATTGGAAAAACAATTGCAAATATCTAGTAAAATCTAGCAATAGTCATTGAGTAGAAAATGTTTTCCTTCTTCAGAGTTGGAGGCGTGAAGAGTTTTTTAAAGCGACGGTAAAACTGGATTGAAAGTTAGACGAAGGAGAAAACAAGGCAAACGAAAATTCTGTTATTGCGATTATCATTAATATTAATTACATGAATCTTCGAAAAATTAACATACTTTCTTGCGGACAGCACAAGCACGATTTACGATTGTTATCGGTTTCAGAAGATTTTTTACAACTTTACTGGAATGTGTACCATATCAAGAAAGTTTTGACGACTAGAATGTAAAACTTTTTTGCTAAATTAAGAAGAAATCAATCAATCAATCAGTAATCAACCTACGTGTACAACCGAACCAATAGCAATTAATTGATGAAACAAAATGAAACTCAAAACCAAAGAAAGAAGAGCATGCATGCAGACAGATGACACAAATCGACCGTCAGTAGAGCATACAAAACAAAACAACTTTAAATTGTAAAACTAAGTTAATTGCATAGCACTAAGATACAGAAAGTAAAAAGAAAGATAAAACATACCTAGGATGCAACCTTGTTCTCGGTATTTATTTACCAAGATAAAATTCAACTAAAGTCAAGGCAAAAGATTCATAAACCGGATTATCTGTTCTCTCGAGGTATCAATTTGCTAGAACACAGGGATAAATAAGCTAATGAATTTTACCGCAAGCGGCATGCATTTGGCCTCAACTGTCGCGATTTGTACAACAATAAGTTGGTTATGCCATTATGCTTTCGAATTGGAATATTATGAATGAAGATGGTGGATTTGCGAGTACCAGCAGGTTGAGGTAATTTGAGATGTTACGATATAATTTTTGACTTCGGAACACTCAAGATAAGTTGCATGAACAAATTAATTCGACGAAACCACGCTGCATTCTAAAATGAGACATAAATTCTTTGAAAATCATCACAAATTTTGCAAAATAAAAAATGTAATTGGCACACCCGCCCCAGTTCACCACCGGACACACCCGCCCCAGTTCACCACCGGACACACCCGCCCCAGTTCACCACCGGACACACCCGTCCCCGTTCACCACCGGACACACCCGCCTCAGTTCACCACATTGTACCCTCAACTCAGTAGCCCACCAAAGCAGCACCCTGAGAGCAGGTATTGTACCGGAGATTCGGGAAGCTCATCACGCACAACGCGCAGATGCTGAGTCAGCACGAATTTGTCTACGCCAGAGCCAGCACCGTCATGGTCAGGATCTATGCCTAGACCACCGCGTGAGCAGCGGGCCAATTAGAAACACGAAAGTAAAGCCTAACATATATTGAGAAATATTGCTCGAGAAATAAGTATGAAGCGATCCATTTTCCAGTCACAATGAGAGTGGAAGAACAACGGTTTCGTGCATGTATTACAATTTAGTGCCATACATTGAGTCTACTTACGACGTAAAGCGCAAAATGTACCACACATTGAGTTCACTTATGACGTTATTAGGAGTAAATAATTGGATCTAATGCACAGGGTTAACAAACATCGGAAACGAAAATTCGTGATGTTGTGAAGTTTACGTTCGTTCTGGCATTAGAACAAAATTAGTATTGGTGCAGGCACGGGTCAACGACGCCGCAGACATGTTAGTAGACATTGGAGGGGCAAAGCTATAACGAGCAGCAGCAGCAGCAGCTCTATTGACCTGCAACAATGGCCTAAGAACCATAAATCGTTTAGTCAAATAATGCTCAGGGATCGTTCAAAGGAAGCCAATAAATCCCCCTAAGAGAGGCTCTAATAAAAGCGATCCATCATAGAGACGCCACAAAGAATGAAAGTTGCTCGCACTAAGATTTGGAAGAGGGCAAACTCTCAGGAAAAAAATCCCCGTTAAAATGAGTAATTATAAACGCCCAGCGTTTTTTCACGACATAAGAAAAGAAGAATTGGAAGAACAGCAATAGAAAAAAACAAGCAAATCGTAATTCACGACATAAGTAAAGAAGATTGAAATAATAGCAATAGAACAAACAAGCAAATCGTAATTCACGATATAAGTAAAGAAGAATTGAAAGAACAGCAATAGAAAAAACAAGCAAATCGTAATTCACGACATAAGTAAAGAAGATTGAAAGAATAAAATAGAACAGACAAGCAAATCGTAAGAATTCTTACATTGAAAGATTGGAATCTAGTATAAAGCGGTTATATGGCCTGCAAAAGCAGATACCAATGAATAGGATCACCAGAGCTTGTCAATAAGTGCCAGGTCGTAAAGTTTACAGCCAATACATGAGGACAATAAAACACGCAAGTTGAGGAAGCTTTTATAGGCGTCCATTGAAGTGAGTTATAACTTGAACTATCATTGGCACGCGCTCTCATGAGCCACGTCGAGAGGGCATTGAGAGGTGAAAACTCACTTGTTATCAGCGACGCTAGCCTGCAGCTCTACAGTGGAACTGGCTTGATGTTATGTCTACTCTCTCAGCTATAAAATTAAGAATGTGTCGTTATTCTTAGTGTTCAAGTTACTTTATATTAATTAGGGCCGAGACGATGCTAGAGGAAAGCGTGAACGAAAAACTGCGACGAGCTGACGGTTATTTTTCGTACCATTCGACTGATGAAAACATTAATGATTTGGTGAAATTCTTCAAGACTGAATGATCCGTCGGATTTAAACCGCTACTGATAACCGTCATCACCAGAAACTTCTCATTTAAATTAAGGTCCATCCATTGTAAAAAAATTTTTATATAAAGTCAACGGTCAAAAATACAAAAGATATTGATTCTTTTGCAATGATCTTCAAATATTAGGCCCGGCATAGCGTGGAACACTGCGCATTGTCACCCAGCGAATGTCGATCCCGCTGCTGGAGCGGCCAAGATTGCGCGGAGTACGGCAAGGTAGCAGCGAGGCATTTTCAAGCCCAGCAACCATCGTTTGCTCGCCCCAAGGGAGCCCAAGCCAGTCTTGGCTTTCACTCCACACATCCATTAGAGGCAGCCAGCGTTACCGCTAACAGCCGCTGGGACCACATAAAACTCCTTCAAAAATCCACGCTATTATTTTCTCTTGAAGTCCTCTCGAAAAGCCTGTAAGTTTTATCATTGTGCGTTGCAGTGACGCACGTTCGCACAAATAAGTTTCACGGAGGTTCCGTGCACAGCATATGGAAGTTCGTTGCACAGGCCTATCTAAAGCAAAGCAGAAGTTTAAATATGAATTCAAGTACACTCTGTTCACCTTCTTTACCTCGTAACTTTCGTAAAATACATTTCTTTTAGATCTTATGAGTATTCCAAGTAAAAATACATTTATTTGATGGCTTTCAACGCCGAGTGCGATACTGGATGCAAGACCGATAATATTTTCCATCACGTTGAAGCCGCACTCTCAGCACGTCCCAAACCATCTGATACGAGTATTAAATTGCAGAGACAGAGCTACGAATTTGGTTGAGTATGGACGAATAACGGATTGAGTGAACAACTAGAAATTGAGAAATATCTGTAGAAAAAAATACAAAAGAAGAATGAGAAGCACGTGCAGCCTAATGAAAAGGAAAAACTGCAGCAAACACGAGTGGAAAATTCAAAGAAGAATGTATTTAGTTCTTGATACGAATTAATTTTATGACCTCTACAAAACATGGCCGTTAAATATCAAGAGTTTTAGTCCGATTTGGACACTTAGAATCGGAATCGACGAAGGAAGAAGGCTTGAAATTAATCGCCAGCAAGCTTGTGTCGGCTTTAAGGCTCTCAAGAGACTCGTGAAACAGACCTAAGACAGCCGCGTACCAACCGGCCATCCGTCACTAAGTCCCCTCAAGACCGACGTTATTTCCCCATGTATTCATTTCCTCCACTTTTATCTTATATAGAGGCTTGCGGTATAAGCCAGCCAATGGGAATATTTTACTAAAATCAGGAAAACAAAATTTTATAAAATCCAGAGGACAAATTTTTTTTCTTACATCATGAGAACAATCGCGAAGTGTAGGTCAGCGAAATCGAACGCAAAAGAAGGCCAGCTAGAGGATCAGAGCATGCCGATATTTTTTGCCAGGTAAATTTAAACATAATCACAGCTGTTTCAATTAGTTGAGCCGTAAAATATTCCGTATTTAACTTCTCATCCCGTGACAGACGTTTGTACCACGGTTTGTCAGAGAATGCAGTTGGTTAGCTGTCCACCGCCTAGAGATGCAGAAGTAACGTCAAACATTGCGACACAAGCGCATTGACGGACAAGGCCCAGCTGACCCTTCGGTAAACTCAATCTTGTGGAGGTAATTCTCTAGAGACGCGTCCATGGCTAACGCAAGATGCTGGACACTTCTGCCTTAAACGCATACACTGACGACACTTCAGGGCCGCAAGTGTCCCTTGCCGGACAAACTTCTACAAAAAACGTTTGTTCTACAAAAGAGAACTTCTACAAAAAAGATTTACTTCTACAAAAACGTTTGTTCTATATACGAAAGAGAACTTCTACAAAAAAGATTTACTTCTACCAAAAAAAAAGTTTGTTCTACAAAAGAGAACTTCTACAGAAAAGATTTACTTCTAAAAAAACGTTTGTTCTACAAAAGAGAACTTCTACAAAACAGATTTACTTCTACAAAAAACGTTTGTACCTTGACAATTCGAAAAGTTTTACGTACTAAAAATGTTGTCGAATGAAAAATATTTGAAAAGTTTGAGAGAAAATACTCGCATAATAACACTCATACCCTTTGTAAGAATGTCGTCAGCCTATACGCAGCAAGCATTTCAGCCTCGATAACCTATACACTTATGAAATTCTGTCTTAGATTATCACAAAATACACAAATTTGGTTTAAAGTATAGTATGTGACAGAGCCAATAATAAATAATTAACAATTAATTTAAAAAGTGAACATGATAAGGACAATATTTGTACAAGAAAATCGTTCTCTGCTGTATTAGATTCAGGAAACATAAAAATTTTCCAGTGCCTAGTCTTTTCCACACTCGGGAAATATTCATCCATGATAAGAAGACCTAAGGTACAAGGGATTTTTATTAAAAGCTTTGCCGGTGGCGTCGATCGAAGGCTCGAAGGTAAACGGTCCCCTGGGCGAAGGCAGCTTCAATTAGGGGCGAACGCGGTAAGGCTGTGAGAGGCGCGTACCCCTTAAATCGGTCAGCAAAAGCGACGACGGACTGCAAACGCAGTCTCTTCTTCAGCGATAAATTTGCCTAGTTATAGATTTGCGATAGCAGCCTCAGGAAATAACGCACATGGAAAGAACCACGCTCAGGGGAAAGGGGTTCCGGAAAAGGAGGAGGCGTCCGATGGGTCCAGGCAATATTAGCTCGTATATACACCGTGGAGCCGGTGGCTGCTGCAACCGTATGCTGCAGTCACTCATCTAAAAATCGTACAAAGAAAATAGATTCCAAATTTCCATTCAAAAGCGAACATTCATGAATTTACCAAATAAAAAATGCAAGAAAAATGAATATTTTGTTATATTTGACCGTAAAAATAAGAGTGCGTAGGAAGAATAAAGCCTGTACAGAGTCGATAAGTCGATCGATGATCTTCATGTTTGACAATCCGAGGAAAACCAACTGCACGGTAAAAGCTCCTAAAAAGAGCGTAAGTCAAATCTACTCACCCACATAAATTGTAAATTAATAATGAATGCATTCGACTTAATGGTTTTGATGGCAATTTTAAGCCTCACCTAAGAATTAAACGTATACCTATGTGAGCAAGAAAAATTTTGCGTTCACGTGATATTGAGTGCGGAAAAATCATGATATCTAAATTAACTTTCAGGTTTACAGTGATACAAATTTTTAATTTTGTACAGTTAAGGCTAACTTTCATCTTTACTTAAATTTAAAATAGATAACTCTGGGATAACCGAATGGGTAACTTTTGGAAGCACAACAAGCCGTTAACTAAAATGTTTTCATAGTATTTACATTCTTTACTTATTATTTTTAATTTTTCGACAATGTTTTCCATTATCCAAGCAGAAATGATACACTGACACCAGGCTGAACCTTCTTGAGCTTTTTTCACACGCACTCTTCCACGACTAAACATAGACGAAAATAAAAGTACCCACACGTTTCAGATGTAACCCTACGGTTTGTTTAGAGGAAAGAAAACTTGGAAGCTTGGCTTTTAGAGAGACATTGTAGTGAAGAAAACTCGAACACAACTGAGAGGTCCGTGAAGTTTTAGCGCGACTCAAAGTTAGGGACAAGGCACTGAGTGTAGCATTGTGTTCCTATACAGTAGCCCTTCAATAAAATAATTGCAGACAAGCCAGGCGGTCCAGCCACGTCTGTAGGATTCGTGGAACGAATTTTTGCCGCAAAGCCGAATCAAAATTGGCTATTGAAGTCGGGGCATGATTGCATGGAGCGGAGAAAAGCGTCTATGCACAGAGGTCATGCATTGAGAGTGAGGCGTTCTATAGCGAGTGGGCAATTGATCGTTCAAGAAAACCGCAAATTTTGGCTCGGTTGCTTAAATCTTCTCATATCCCAGAGGCGATATCACGGAGCTCGGCACACCGACCAGTAATGACAAGAATCCTGCCAGGAGCAGTCAAATTTGCAGCGAGAAAGTCGCGAAAAATTGTACGATGTGCGGACTACAAAATGCTTTGGCGTTGAACGCTGCACTACGCATAGGCAACTGAGAGAGAACAAAATTTGTTCTCATTTGGTGGTGATCAATGCAATTTCCCCATATTAAATTAAACGCTCGGTCATCGATAATAAATGTATTTCGTAATATATCATTGCGTAAAATTCATAGCCAACGATCACGATTTTGGTAAAATAAATAGCAAGAACATCAAAATTCATGGACTAATTTTCTGATACGCAAAAACCATATAACTAAGATACTTAAAACATTTTGAATAGTTGAAAACAACAGCAGGCACGGCAATTTAATTGCTGCAGAAATAAATTGAACAAAAACACAAACACAGAAACAAAATACTACAGTAAACTCGGAATAGGAATTACTTTTAGAGAAAAGATCGAAATAAAATTTAAAAAAGATTCGAAGGAAAAAGAGAGTAACAAAAAATTAAATGCATACTTCTATATAACAAAATGAATAAGTAAAATCTTTTTATACAGCATCAGTGTACAAGAAAAGCTTCAATGAAAAAACCAGCACGAGTAAAAATAAAAGTGTGCCGAGTTTCTTGGAAGCAACTTTGAACCTGCGCACTCACTTGAATCTCTGCCGTTAGCTGCTCGAGAAGAAGAGAAAGACAAATGTTAGTGGAAAATAGCAAGATGATGTTAGACGATATTAGCAAGGAAAGACGACACACAGGGAAAATAGAGACATAATTAGGCTGGTAAATGTCCCAGGATAGCAATGCGGACATGGTTAACCATGGTGTTTCATGGTTAAAACAAACAGTCGGGCGAAGGAATTTGCGCGTTAAACAAACTAGTCCTAGCGCATTTAGAAGTTAGTGTGCGTTAGAAAATAACGAAATATTAACGGTTGATAAAAGTTATTTTAAAGGTAATTTTCTGTCACTCGAGAGGCTATCCATTGAACGTTGTATTGGCTTTCAAGTCCTCAATTTCAAGTATCGATTTCCTCAATACTATGGAGCTAAAGGAAAGAGTAACATGCATTCCTCACTAAAAAACTAAGTCTGTTACGTCGGTTATTGCAAAGAAAGTGTGGGTGGAAGTTGTTCTTTAAAAAACAGTCTGAATTTAAGGTTAGTTTGCGATCACCCTTGCAACGCTGAAGAATTCAGTAGCCTGTCAAGGCCAATCAAGGCAAAAGAAAACCTGACTTGGCTTCAGCGCGACGCGACGCGTTGGGAGGAAAGTCTGTGCGTCACGATCAACCCAAAAGTTATTTGATATTTCCATTAAATAATTTTAGCTTATTTTAGTAACGAGTAAACGAGTGAATTATGAAGCGGATAAACTGCTTCCAACAATATTCAGGAAGAATGCTATTGATGCTGTAAGGGATAGAAATCATTGTTTAACTATCGGAATATTAATTGCACAAGTTATTAATAGGTAGTCCCGAATTTTAAATTGCATTTTTAGTTTAGAGTTTACGGAAGGCTAAGTACGGAAGGAGGATTTGATGTGGAGGAGGAGGCGATAGGATTATTTTGTCGTGGAAAGCCGGAGCGGAGGTATGTGCTGCGTTAGGATGTGAATATGTAAATATATATGTGAATAGATTTGATGTGGAGAAATCGTGTAAATATTCAGGTCATATATTTAGCAATCCGTAATGTTTAGCTTAACTTATTATTTATGTTTCAATTGTTTCTTTTATAGGAAAGCCTCAAATCGGAGATTTAAACTCAGACCAAAAGTTTCTCAAATCGAAGACTTAGATTCATATGAAGAGTAAGCCTGAAATCAAGAGCTAAGCACCAAGATGACAGCAATGAAATGAATTTTTTAGTGTTATTCTTATTGATTATTTTTTTATTTGAAAATGTGGTGTAATAAAATGTTTCAATTATTGTGAATTTGCATGGTGTTTTCTATGCTTTTAAATTCCTTATAAACTTGCGATATAAGCAGACTGATTATATAAGTGATCATGAAGGCTAGTTGGTGGTTCAGAGAGCCCCAGCAATGCAACGAATTTAAATTCTTATGATGGAGGCAGCAGCGTGAACTTGCTAGTGTCATTCTTATTCTTATTTGATTGAAAGTGTGGTGTAATAATGCGTTTTAATTATTGTGCATTAGTGACTAAACCTATACGATCATGAAGGCTAGTTGGTGGTTCAGAGAGCCCCAACAATGCAACCAAATTAATATTATTATTATCATAGCAGCATGACTCACTGGTCTCGCCAGTGGTGATGTAGGCAGGTTCAGACGGCGCGCCTCGCCCGATCTTGTTCACGGCCACGATGCGGAACTCGTAGCTCGTGTACGGCGACAACGCTGACCAAAAATATTACATCATATTACCACGAACATTAAATTTATATTAGAAATTGATATCCTAGGAGATAAACTGACAAGGTTGACGAAAAATATTACATCATATTACCAATAACGTTAAATTTATATTACAAATTAATATCCTAGGAGATAAACCGGTAACGCTGACTAAAAATATTACATCATATTACAAAAAACTAAAATTATATTAGAAATCAGTATCCTATGAGATAAAAAAGTGACAACGCTGACCAAAAATATTACATCATATTACCATGAACATTAAATTTCTATTAGAAATTGATTTCCTAGGAGATAAAAAACGGAAAACACTTAGGAAAAATATTACGTCACATAACCAACAATGTTAAAATTATATTTGAAATTAATATCCTAGGAGATAAGGAACCGACAACGCTGAGGAAAAATATCACATAATATAACAAACAACGTAAAATTTATATTAGAAATAAAAACCCTAGGAGATAAAAACTGACAAGGCTGACGAAAAATATTACATCATATTACCAACAACGTTAAATTTACATTAGTAATTAATATCCTGAGAGATAAAAACCGACGAGTCTGGCGCAAAAATATTACATCATATTACCAAGAAGGTTAAATTTATATTAGAAATTGTTATCCGTAGTGGTAAAGAACATACAATCAAAAGTTGAAATGTCTCATCCGTAGTTCTCAAATGTTGAACTTTTCATTAAAACTGTCAAATTACTGACGTTAGATTTTAAAAATAGATTGATGTTTTTGACACACAATGTAAGAGGCGTTACATTTGCCAAGGATGTACTCGTACGTGCAAACTCACTGTTGACAGCTGAATTTAGAATTCAAACGCGCACATTATAATCGCCAGTTCAGTGACATTCAATTCTAAAACAATAATTTCTAAACCTATTTAAATATTAATTCTATTTAAAATAATAATTCTAAGATAAGATACAGTAGCCATGAACGCACAAATGCACTCACATCTGACGTTTGAACTTATCATTCAATCGATCGACATAATAATATCTGATCACTGACGTCTAATTTCCGAATACTAATTTTCATTACAATATAAGAGACGTTCCAGTTGAAAAAAATACACTCACAGCGTCCGTATGAACATAGAATTAAAACGCGCACATTATAATATCTGATCACTGACGTCTAATTTCCGAATATTAATTTTTATAACAATATAGGAGACTCTACAGTTACAAAGAATGCACTAATCGGACGTATGAACCTATAATTCAAACGCGCACATTTTAATTTCTGATCACTGACGTCTAATTTCCGATTAATAATTTTTATAACAATATAAGACGTTAAAGTTGCATTGAATGCACTCACAGCTGACAGCGTAGAACCTGGTGACAAGGCCGGACATCAATTTCCGAATAGTAATTTTTATAAAATATTATAGACTCTACAGTTGCAAAGAATGCACTCACGGCGTTCGTATAATTTTTCTAATAATATTATAGACTCTACAGTTGTAATGAATGCACTCACAGCTAACATATAATTTTTATAAATATATTATAGACTCTACAGTTGCAATAAATACACTTACAGCTAACGCATAATTTTTCTAACAATATTATAGGCTCTAAAGTTGCAATGAATGCACTCACAGCTAACGCATAATTTTTCTAACAATATTATAGGCTCTAAAGTTGCAATGAATGCACTCACAGCTAACATATAATTTTTATAAATATATTATAGACTCTACAGTTGCAATAAATACACTCACAGCTAACAGCGTAGAACCTGGTGACTAGACCGGACATCTCAGTGTACTCGCGGTCTACATCGCGCGGCTTGTACTGGATGATGTAGTAGCTGATGTCGCTGGGGCTCACGTCGTACTCCCACACCACGCGTACAGACGTCGCAGTCACGTCAGTGATACGTACAGATGTGGGCGGCCGCGGCAGTGCTGCAATAATAATAATAACAATATTTGTAATATTGCTGTAATATTTGCGCTGAAACATTAATATTAATAATACTTGTAATATTGGTGTGATATTTGTGCTGCAACATCACACTCGGCATTTGTGCTGCAACATCATCGAAAAAATGAGCATTACGGACGAATATGAACTCCTACTTCAATTAAAAAAATTGAAACGGAAGAGCAACCAATGCAGTGCAGGCCAGCAGTGCAGGCCAGCAGTGCATGCCAGCAGTGCAGGCCAGCAGTGCAGGCCAGCAGTGCAGGCCAGCAGTGCCGGCCAGCAGTGCAGGTCAGCAGTGCAGGCCAGCAGTGCAGGCTAGTAGTGCAGGCCAGCAGTGCAGGTCAGCAGTGCAGGCCAGCAGCGCAGGCCAGCAGCGCAGGCCAGCAGTGCAGGCCAGCAGTGCAGGCCAGCAGTGCAGGCCAGCAGTGCAAGCCAGCAGTGCAGGCCAGCAGTACAGGCCAGCAGTGCAGGCCAGCAGTACAGGCCAGCAGTGCAGGCCAGCTGTACAGGCCAGCAGTGCAGGCTAAGGCGCGGTATGCAGAAGCGCCTCGATATCTCAGGCGTCGCGTAGCTTACAATGGCGTCTTAATTGCAGTCTCAGCGCCTACCGACCAACTAACAGCATTCCGGTCCACGCACCCAAACACACTTGAACTAAACCGAACTTAGAATTAAGACAGCAATTTATCTGCATAGCTGTTTATTATACGGGATTTCGATTCAGATTAAAATACTGCCAAAATTCTCGGAAATAAAATTTTGTCTATGGGAACGCCTAACTTATTTTCTTCAAAAGCAGCATTTCTAAAAAAAAAAGTATTACTTCAAATTTGTCATGATCGTAAGATATGGTTAAAAATATAACATAACTGAAATAGCTCTACAAACCAATCATAATCTCAATACTCCAATCTAACTGTAAACTTAATAAAGCAAACACTGCAATATAAATAATAAACAGGTAACTGGAATCCATGCCTAGGAATAACTGAAATGAAAATTAAAAATGAAACTTTAGTAAATACTTCATCACGATTCGATATCATTCAAGTGCTTAGGTATAACTATACCTACAGTTGGCAAGTTTATAACGTAGTAAAATTATGCTGTGTGACAAGGATTCAGGCAGATATGTGTACACATAGAAATAATTTGTATAGTTAGGCAGAAGTTTTTCTTTTATGCAAGTTTTATTAAAGACCCGAGCGTATTTCTTATTAATGATTTTCTTATTAATTTTCTCGGTGCTGCGAACTAGGCTTTTTGCGGGATTTGAAAGTTCGAATATAAGGTTTCCAAATGACATTTTATTTTACTTTACGACATTTCGAATATTCCATATTCATTAGGTCAGCAGTGCAAATCAAAAATCAAAATCCCGCAAATCGATCTTTCAACTCCCGCAAAAAGCCTAGTTCGCAGCATCGAGAAAATTAATAAGAAAATCATTCATAAGAAATACGCTCTGGTCTTTAATAAAACTTGCATACATAGAAATAAGTGAACTTTTTCCAGATATCGATGCACTTTTTAACGTTATGCGAGTCATTTTGACTCAGTTTGGCCCTGCGAAATGGTGCATCAGTGATACGACCGTTCTCTGCTTGTACTATGGATAAGAAAATGCATCACTTTTTTGACGCTATAACCCATTTATGTTTATGAGTAGACACTTACCCTGTACTTTGACCTGAACATCGGCGACGATGATGCCTAGAGTGGACTGCGCCTGACACGTGTAGTTCTCAGACTTGCGGATGTTGTGTAGCATCAGCACGTTCTTGGTGAGTCTGTTCTCCGACACCTCGACTGCCAGGCCCTATAAACCATTGATACAGTATAATTTATACCGTGAAATGTCGCAAAAACTATTGATACAGTGTCATTTAGACAATGAAATGTCGCAAAAACTATTGATACAGTGTCATTTAGACCATGAAATGTCGCAAAAACTATTGATACAGTGTCATTTAGACCATGAAATGTCGCAAAAACTATTGATACAGTATAATTTAGACCATGAAATGTTGCCCAAACCATCTATACAGTATAATTTTAGATCATGAAATGTCGCATAAAACATAGATACAGTATAATTTTCGCCCTGTAGTGTCACACAAGCCATTGATCTAGCATCATTTTACAACCATCACAAGCAAACTACAATGATCAAAAGACGACCGAAAACTCGTAACATGCTACAGTGGAGAGATAATCTACAAACAAGGTATTTATTATTTGTAGATGAATAAAAGAACACTGTATAAATTCAAGATTATTCCAGAAAAATTAATATATTAAAAAGAAAAACTCTAACTAAATTACAAATAAACCCATTATTTTTAGTCGAAACGCAATTTCATCTTTTTACTTCAGTGCCCCCGAGAGAAAAAAAACGGTATCACAGATACCAGAGTGGCAGGTCGACCCGCAGCTCCGAGGGCGGCGATCTGTCCCAAGTCAAACTGGGAGCGCATTACTTTGGAAGCTCGGCCTTTTCCAAGTTTCAATTGAGTTCCAAAGGAAGTAAACATGGAGGACTGGCAGAAGCAATCGCAATGCGATCGAGCGTATCATTACACTTAACACTTGAAATAAGTTTCTCCCACACATCTTGACTTACCCCACACAGTGTATACCGCGGATCTCAAGGCCGAATTGACCTCAGGTCTTGCTTAGAAATTTACATGAAATGAGAGAGAATAACAAAACGTAAGCCAAATTAATAATAGCTTTTCAATAGACATATTGAATCAGCCCACGATTTCGATCGTTGTTAATTCAAAAATACAAAACTGTCACGGTGAAATTTCAAAGGAAATTGCCGAGCTAAAACTTGACGAAAATTTCGAAATCAAGTAAATTAATATAATATAGAAAAATACACGGCTATTCCAATGATGGACCCAAAGTAATAAATTCGTATTTATTCAGGTATAAATTCAGGTGATGTCGGTGTAGAAATCCATCATCTTCCATCATGTGTAGCAGTGTTTGAAATCCGCCCAATTGCACGTTTGAATAGGTTAACAAAACTTTGATTATTTCTCTTTACATTGGTGTAAAAATTATTCATTTTGAATTTATACTTAAATTATTACAAATTTAATAAATTCAGTCCATCATTTAGAATAAACTTCTATCATTAGTTTAAGAACGTCTTTGCATTCAAAGTAAAGAATATTTTAGAAATATTATTACAACCACAGCGGATTCATTATAGCTCGGTTAGCTATAATTTTTGACCTTGGGAGTGAAACTCAAATCATAATATATTGTATTTCATGTTAAATTTCACAATTTTTATGAAATAATAATTTTTCGCTTGCTAATTTCTTTTGTTATTCTTGTAACAATTACACTTGGACGAGCTTTCATACTGAATGGCTTATACTCCAGACAACTCATACTACGCTACACAGATTGATACGGAAACTGAGTTCGACATAAAAGATAAAGCAACCGTCTCTGATGACGAGTAGTTTTGTTCAGAGCTCATGCGTTAATGTTCAGTGCAAGTAGAGTTTCATTAAATTTCAAGCAGCCACAAATTTCAATCAACCACTTAATACAATTTTTTTTCGCATAACTTAACGGTATTTCGTTCCACAACTAATAAGCCAGCCAGAATGTTTTTTATAGTATAGTATCGAACAGTGCACAAGTTAGATCCCATCTTTTAATTATGATTCAGGAACTTTCATCAGTTACTAAATTCTAGTAGTCCTCTTAAACACTACCCTTTTTAACCAAGATTTAACCTAAAGTAACAGTTTTCCTTACTTCGACATTTTCTCGCAGAAGACATAATAAACGTAAGTTTTTGCACAATGTTTCGAATGAAAGAGGCTGTTTTATATTCCAGCAACTCTTCCTTTTTTTAATTGCCGAGGACAAGAAGCATATCGAAAATTTGATGTAAATAGACACGTATCTTTTATTCTCTTCGAAGTCGTACAGAAGACGCCAGTTCTATCTTTGTTTACATGACGATAAGAGGCCGTTGCTAACGACATACTCATGCCATCTTCTACAAAACGAAAGGCGATCAATCGTATATATATATAGTTGATCCACCGTCTTCCGCATAACATGAAAAAGTGTTACAATTGACCCATCTTTTTCCAAAAGTAGTAGAGGAGGCGGCCGCAAGTAACCCACCTTCTTCCACATGACGTAGGGGCGGCCGACGCGGGTGACCCACCTTCTTCCACATGACGTATACAGTAACAGTAGTAAGACACTAACAGTATATAGGTGAGACAGTAACAGTAAGTGAGACAGTAACATTATGTGTATTCACATAATGTGTTCAATGTGTTAATTTGTTCATGTGATGATGTGTTCAATTTACATTTGGATGATATACCATTGAGGAATAAAAATGTGCACAAGTCTATTAATAAGTGGAATCAATGTTTAATGAAATCGTAAAACTTAGCTTGTTTCTTGTAAGCATGATACTGTAATATACTTGTTTTTAGCACAACACCTTTCGTTAGGGAATATTTTTTGTGCTTGAAACTTTCTTCTTAATTGAAGCCTCGTACGGCATTGAAAAATGAAGTTTCCTTCAGCTCTCAAACAGGAAGATGAATGGGAGTTGTGATAGTAATTCATACGGTGTTTCACAGCACATTACATGGGTGTATTTCATTACTTAACGTACTTTAATTTTAAAATAATGAACTGAACTTGGGAAGACGGCTTTTGGAATGACGGGATTCTCTGCCTGCAAGGATTTTCTATCTAGAAAAACTTTAGGCTGTACCGGTAATACGCTGCTAGATATTTCAGGTATATTGTACGTGTTGTATTTCAGCGCTGAATGAAACCATGCACCTAGGCGCTGTTTGAGCGCGTATCGTCAGTACTTATTGTGCCGGAATATTAAATACGTGTTAACAATTATTAACTGCATAGCAAATAGTAAGGCATTGCAAAACTGGAACTGAGGGTTTGATTAAAAATGTAATTTTAATAGCTAAAATTTATTCTACACTCGAATTAATTCAAAACCATCAGGTAAATTTTTCACATCACGAAACGGAAGTTGTATCTAAGTGCGGATTTGAATGAGAGATTTTTTCAATAACCAGGGCTTTAGCTACCAAATAGAAGAAAATATAAATGTTATAAAAAAATACCAATCCAAATAGAATTATTTCATCGATAAGATGAGAGATAAATGGGAGTTCAGCGCTAATTGAGCGTTTCAACAGGTTTTTCTTGCATTAACGAAAACACTTTATTTCTAGAAATATTAACCTTATTCGGGATGAAGATTTTCAGGATAAGAGAATTCGTGATGAAAAGATCCAGCCCCTTGACATGAGTAGGAATGACGGGATTTTGGATAACGGGATTCGTTATAACTGGATCATCATTCTACTCGTATAATCTTAGCATTAATCTTAGTAAAGGTCTTAGTACAATATAAATTGGAATTAATTTAGTCGTAAAATGAATAGATTCCCTGCAGCTTGCAACGATAAAGAAAAAAAATCATACCTCTCAAAAAAGCACACAAAAAAGCTTTAGTTATGAGAGCTTATATCAATAATTTACTTAATTCGCAAGTTCACCAAGAATTTAAAAGCACGGAAAACGACAAGTAAATTCACCAAAGCTTCAATAAAAACGTTTCGAGACCTGTTTCATCATCAGTTCACAAAATTTATAGAATACAAACACGATTTGTTGTACTTGTATTCTTGGTGAACGTTAATTATAACATGTATGAAGACTTGTAAACGTTAATCATCACGTTAATTATAGCATGTACTCAGAAGACGGAGGTGCCCATTACTGCATTATTCAGGCTAACATTCCGACGTGACATCTGCAGTCAAGACTCGCGGTTAACGCATGGCCAAAAAGGCAAATAAAGCTAAACTTTACTTCAATTCAAATACTTCATCGGTGAAGCAGGGAGAGTAGTAGTCTGTTTACGTCGTCTTCTTACCGCACTTAACGATCTCCAACGTTTTTACAAGCTGACAAACTGCTTATCGAACTGCTTATCGCGAGTCACAATAGCGACGAACTGCTTATCGCGAGTCACAATAGCGACGAACTGCTTATCGCGAGTCACAATTGCGACGAACTGCTTATCGCGAGTTACAATTGCGACGAACTGCTTATCGCGAGTCACAATTGCGACGAACTGCTTATCGCGAGTCACAATTGCGACAAACTGCTTATCGCGAGTCACAATTGCGACAAACTGCTTATCGCGAGTCACAATTGCGATAAACTGCTTATCGCGAGTAACAATTGCGACGAACCGCTTATCGCGAGTCACAATTGCGACGAACCGCTTATCGCGAGTCACAATTGCGACGAACTGCTTATCGCGAGTAACAATTGCGACGAACTGCCCTAACAAATTTTAGAGTCGCCCCAGCTTCTGGTAATTCAAATCAAGCTGCCGCGTCTGTAAATTTTCACTGGGTGCTTATCGCGAGTCACAAGCTGACGAACTGTTTATCGCGACTCAAATGAACTGCACTTAAAAGCAAGCCTGATGCTCGTGGTGCAGGCCCGTGAGCGGATGAAATATAACAAAGCTTTTACCGAAGGTCGAAAGACATCGCAAGGCCGGCAAGCAAGAGCTGTCTCCTCGCGACCATCACCATGGCAACCGCATAACTTTGAAGATCTCAATTAATTGTCCCTGGCACTTCAAGATAGAACGTAGCAGAGATTTTCGTGTATCTGTTATGTGGACGACCAGTCAATTATTCGTGGAATTCGTGTGCTTGAAGACGAACTCCACAATGTGAGACAAATTAAAGTTTTTACTAAATTTCGTCGAAAATTATACTCGATCATATCTCAATATGTTTTCGAAAGGTATTCAATTAGGGATTAAAAACAGATATAATGTCAGAGCCGGTAAACTTTAGTAATTCTTTTTAAATTCAACAACAAATTTAAAAGGAATACTCCATGAGGCTATTTGTGTATTCATCACTTAAATTAAGTTTTCGTAGTCATTTGCAGACAAAATTCACGCATCCAACGAGTGTAAAATGTTTCTAATCCATTTTTCGACAGCTGTACCAGAAAAGAAAAAAAAGGATTTTCGTACCAGAAAAATGTCTGCGATGCTAGTATAAACGGAATTTAGTTCAAAATAGAAGCGAAAGACAGCGTTGAATTTTCCCATCAGAGTTCAATTTAATCAACTCCTCCGACGAGATCGCAATTCGAAAGGCAAAGTAAAATAATGCAGGATAGGAGGCCAGGTTAGGTAGGAATAGCACGCACATCGTTATTAACTTCAGCGTTAATTGAAGCCAAGCCGGCACCTCAGACACAGGCTCGTTGCCGTTCAATTGATTAATAACGAGAAGACCTACAAAAGAAGCTCAAGATACATCGGCCTAGAATTAGTAAATGTTCTACGTGAGCAGCAGCAGCGCAGTATTCCGATGAAGTTGTGTGTCTATATATAAACGACGACCATGCACGGACAGGCTTCATCATCAATTGAGAAGCAGTGAAGGTGCGTCACTATTCACTCATGTCTTCACGTAATACGATGATGCGCATGAGAAACTCTAGACAATGAATTTGCAGCGCATGCAACGATCAAAACTTCGCTTGCTGCGGTTGGGACTCGTATGGCTGCACGGCTCGATCACTTCGAGCGGCTGAAGCAAATTCAAATGTGACTTGCATAATGACCGTGATATAATAGTCTGTAATTATACCGTAACAAATTTTATCTCGAAAAAAATATACTTTTGAATGTATACTAATACGTAACAAATGAACGAATAACTATAGATTCGAATATTTATTTGGTACTTCATATTGCTGGTTCTAGAATCCAGAGATTTATTTCACGTTTAACTATTTCATTGCAGGAGGCATAGGATATTAATCTATCTCATCAAGATCAGTAAGCCATGTGACGCTAGCACAAGTGCGGCTTTAGTGACATCGTTTCCAGGAACATGTAAATCTCGAAAGAAAAGTATGCAAAAGCAGCACAATGACGTTTTATAAAACTCAAAATAAAATAAATTTTCTTAAATTCTGGTATGAAATTGCATACACACAATTCTTTTCAACTTTGTACCTTAATTACATTAATTTATTACATCGTAAGTAGAAAATCATTCAGGCAAGATATTACCACCTATTTAATGAAACGATACTTCTGTAATAAATAGAACTCCTGCATCATATCAAGTGATCAAAATAACCCATGCACTGGTAGATGGCATAACAGTTTCTAGAATGACAAATAAACGAAAACACGAAATATCGATGTGATGAGCATTTTTATAAATGATTAAAAATGTATTCTACAGTTAACAATCTTCTGATACTATTTTTTCACAATTGAACTGAAATGAAAACCGAAGAAAATATTGAATATTATACATACGAACATACATACGTTATACGAATACGTTATACGTTACATATATTACATATATATCATACGTTATACATATATTATACATACGTTATACGAACAAAGACGGCCGCAGCGAACACCTCGTTAATCAGTAAGAACTGATGCTTCCTGGCACCTGAAGTCCGGCGGAAGACCAACATAGGTTGAGTTCAACAAAGGTTGAGTTTCCATGAGGAAGAAAGAGCCTTGGAAACGATGACAGGCTGCTAGGAAAGGGATATCCTCTCAGAGATTTACCGGGAGCCAGAGAAAGAAGGAAAATTTCGATTCGATAGGGAACTGCGAGCACAAATTCGCTGCGAGTGATAATTTCACGAGTTGACTTCGATCAGCCTGGGTCATTTGGACGGGAAGGCCGGTGCTTCGCTTCTTTACGACACCTTACAGAGATCGTTAAAAGTCACACCAGATTCCTATACGACCTCAGGCACTCGATCGCCTTATCGCTGCCACTTTACCTCGTGCATCGACAGAGACGCGATCGAAAGCAGCGAGTGTGTTCTGCTAGCTCAGGCCGATGAGCTCCCTTGCTTGAAATTATACGAGGTCATTCAGATACCCAAGCTCGGCCGTCCTTGATTCGGCTTCAAATTTTAACATGGTACGTAAGCAATTGTTCGAGAGTTCAATGTTCTGATTTGCATGGGTTAATATTTTTCCTAAAGCCGATCAAGTTCAAATAGAAATTTTTTCCGTAGGAAATGCTTATTCAGAATATGTAATTTCATTCAAATAATCGCTTGTATGTACAGAATGAGCTGCAAGTTTTTTGTCCGGTGGCCCATTATCAAGACATTTATATTATAATCATCGTCAGAGACCACAGAAACGGCCACCTGATATTTTTCTCAGCTTGAGCCACTTGTGCGAATCGCAGAGCTAACCAATCTCTGTTCAAACACCGACGAGGTCTAGTACGTCCGAGTTCATTCAGAGACGCAACTCGCAGTCAAAAATGTAGCCTAAAGCCGACAAGCAGAGAGCGTGTACCAGAGATCCGAGAACAGACCAGCAGCTACAGGCTTCAAAACGAACCTCGTCTCCCTTCAGCTCTATCACAAAATCTGATTCTCTTTGAGGAAGCCAAAGCTGACTCGATGAATGGCAAAAATCCCCAAACTTGCTCAATCACTCACTCGTCTCTCCAAGCATTTATCTATTAGTGGAGACAGTCCGGGTATTTTTATCATAAAATAAAAAGAGTTCTCTATTTCCCCTCTTCAGTACTTCATTTGTTGAAGTGAGTCGAGCAGGTATACGAGTTTTTATACAGCCATGCATTGGTTAGGGGTTGAAATATAGTTAGGTCGCAAATTAATCGATTATAGTTTCGTAAAGAATCAAAATATTAGAATAAATCCAAACGTATAAATTTCGAATTCGGTACGGAAAATATCTCTCAAAATTTAGACAAAAAATCACACTATTCTCATCACGATTTGAAGAGTGGAACGTGTGATGTTGAAAGCTCTACCGGATCAGAGCACAAATTTGATACTTTTCCACAATTTCAATACCACGAAAAAATACGGCGAATTAATCGGGCGGTAATAGATCGCATCAAGTCAATTTTTGTTCAGTTATAATACGCTGCGATCACATGTGGTATGCATGATGCAAAAAGTCACGGATCAGCTGGGCCTATACTTTCAAAAAAAGTTAAGAGATCGTAAGTTCATCAGCCAATCATTGACGGCCTTTCAAGCAAAATCCACCAATCATAGACAAGAAAATAGAAAGTAATTACTTACGTTAACTTAGCGAGTTTTGGAAGTATGGCCCCAGAAAATCCTGTCAATTGGCGATGTCGTAAGTGGTTATAGCAAGTGAAGTATTCAGATCCGCACCGAGAAAAACGTGATGATGAATAATAATTTAGAGGGACATTTTTTATCCAAAGTTGTAATATCGGATGTCACATAATAATTTCCTGATGGTAAAGTTTACATTGAGAGCTGGAGGCACTAAAAATGAGCCTTATCAAGAAGTTGGAGAAGTCAGGAGTGTCGGTAACTATGCCAACGACGACATTTATGCTGGCTTCTACTCGATCAAAGATTAGATCTAACAGAAGAATTACATAAATAATCAAACACAAATAGATTGAAAGATTTGTTTTCTAGACCTGCATGAAAGCTACTGTCTCAGTTTCGATGATCTTCATATTGAAATCATGCGAATTCCCTGATGACCCAAATTCGGGATGATCAAGCGAAGACTCCATCAAAGATACATATAAATTATAAAGAAAGAAAATTAATCAAAATTTCGTTCTAGAAAAGAAAATAAAAGCATTGAAGAAGTTAGGGCAATTCGTACTTCATTCGAAGCTAAGCAAGCAAGGAGACACATGATGAACACATAATTGTAATAAATCGAATGCAAAATCATTTCGTTCCCTGACACATAGAACAGAAATACGAAATCAACGCGAATGAAAGCGCAGGAATAGTTCATCGAACGTTTTCTCAAATATTAAATTTTCGCAAGAGTATATAAGATTTCTATTCAGCCAAACCATCAAACAGTCGACGCTAAAAACCAAGGTCTCCGCCTTCAATAGTTCTCAGCTCCAGACCAGACGAAAAAACACACCAGAGTTTCAGGAAAATCTTGCAGCAGAAAATTGGCCTTTTTGTCGGTGTCGTTAAAGAGGCTTAATGACATTAAGTTAAAACTGCGGGCCAGTGTTGTTCTAAGAATATCGCGCGCCGCTTAAAATCACACCCTTAGAATTGTGCGAAATCTCCGGACGTCAGCGCTGCCTTTGCTATTCAACCTGTGAGCAGCTCGGTCTGCTGGAACAGCAGCTGCATAGCGGGCTTTTGGGCAAGAGTATTATTTTCTACATAGGAAATGTGAGCGCATATGTTGAATTAATGCATGGGTATTATTTCCTACATAGGAAATGTTAGTGCATATGTTGAGTCAGTGTATGGGTATTATTTTCCATATATGAAATGTGAATACATATGGTGAATTGATGCATGGGTATTATTTCGTAATCCTTTAAACGTTAGTGTATATGTTGAGTTGATGCAAGGATATTATCCTACATAGGATACGTTAGTGCATATGTTGAGTCAGTGCATGGGTATTATTTCTTACATATGAAATAATATCATCGTTAGTCAGTGAATTGATGCATGGGTATTATTTCCTACATAGGAAACGTAAGTGCACATGTTGAGTCAATGCAGCATTAAGATGATTTTTCACGTAAAAAATTGTAGCGGCAAAAGTTGGCATGGATACGAAACTGTAAGTCTGTTTCTCTGCCATAGCTTGTGGATCTTTTGAATTATTTGAAAGTTGAAAACAATTTAGTTTTGTTTCCACATGCGTGAATTAACCTTGAAGCGTATGCATAAAGATGTTATATAAAGAACTAGCCACCTAGCAGTCATATGCCGCTGAGCCTTTCTAAAAATATGCGCATTAAATGAAATAATCTGCGTAAACATTTTACATAGGTTCAAGATAAACTAATTTTCTGATTTTATACATAAAACAGAACTAAATAAAAACGGTGGTTGCGGCATATTGTAAATGCAAATTCCTACAAAATAATATAAATCATAAACGGAAAGAATTTCGTTGAACCAAAAGCCTCTGCGCGAACTTCAACGAGACTATCCCAGTTCATTTGAATAAAAGAAAACCTGAGCGTGGGATTAAAAGAAGACGACTGGCAGGACTCGAGAAACGCCTGCACAACCACGCATCGTATTTATACCGGGATGAAGGAACACAGGCGCATCAAAGAAACGTCCCCGCAACGAAACCTCAACAAACGCTACGTTTCAGGAATCCTTCACCAAGTAACCCGATTATAAATACCAAGTACATATATGAATTACTAAAAAAAATATTTTAAAAACAATTATTGCTCGGAAACAAATTTAAAAAATTAAACTAAAACAAAAATAGCGTTTTAATCTGGAAATATAAACAAAATCCGCTTGAATCTGAAAGAATACAATAATAAACTCTGAGTAAGAACATAAGGTAATATGTTGAAAGTACGTTCCCTTTCAGTCTAAGCCCTGCTGAATTAAGGTGAATTAATTCTCGAATGTAAAGCATACTTTAATAGGCATAAGTAGGGTAAATTTTAATAGCGCAAAGATACAAACATTAGCGAGAACGGCCATTAGCAGGGAGTTTAGTCTGCGGAGAGAGGACAGATGGCACAGCGTTTTTTTGCTACTTTGTAAATACGCACTAAAACTGCGGCACCGCCATACATGCAGGCTTCTGTAACGTGAACGCTAGCAAAGACAAACTTGCTCGCTCATTGCAACATGTGATCCTCAAATACGAGAATAAATTAACAGGGTACAGAATTTAAATTCATGCCGTTGTGATAATGGGGCTAATATAGGGGCATAGGACTTGATCAGAAGTTGCCGTCTGAAAACGTCACTGGGATCAGTCAGTGACGCTACGTTTGGGGTTAAGCGGAAATGTTTTTGAAAAACTCGAATTCGAAATCGTTTAGGTGACAAATCAAAAGCATTTGCAAAGTTTTTTTAGCGTGATTTGAAGAAAAAATTAACTTCCATGGGCACATATGGAAATAGTTAACTACAAATCATTAAAATTTTTGGAGCCTCGGGAATAGAGAATACATCTCGCATAACAAAAGATTTGAGTCACTTCTAGAAAAGTGAACGCACAGAAGTGTATGTTTTTGGTAGATAAAATAAATCAAAATCCGAGGAGAAATATCACTGAATTTATCAGAACCTGCCACAAGTCCAAACATTTGCGACACATGGAGTGACGTGCAGCGTAGAGAGACAAGAGAGACATGCAGGATTGTAAATGCAATGACTGTTAACTCTCGCGGATCTCACCTCTGACGTAGAGGTTAATGAGTTTACTGAAGGCAGTTCCCACGGAGTTCTCTGCCACACATTCGTACTTGCCACNAAAGCAGAAATAATACATTAAATTACATGAAATTAATTTTAATTAAACACTACAATGATTGTAAAAGCAGAAATAATACATTAAATTACATGAAATTAATTTTAATTAAACACTACAATGATTGTAAAAGCAGAAATAATACATTAAATTACATGAAATTAATTTTAATTAAACACTACAATGATTGTAAAAGCAGAAATAATACATTAAATTACATGAAATTAATTTTAATTAAACACTACAATGATTGTAAAAGCAGGAATATTACACGAAATAATTTAGGAGCAATAAATTTAATTTTAATTGATGTGAAGTGTTAAATTAACATGACCTCCGCTTCAAACATGTATTCTTCAATAAAGGTCTATTCACGGTAAAAATAGGCATTAAAGGAGAATATAAGTCTGCGAGTGTTTACAAAGAAAAAAAAATTTCAGTTACAAGAGGAAATATGTCATAAATCGATCGATACATTCGCTTGCTCGAAAATTAATAATAATAGTAATAACAATGTTTTGTGCTATGAAGTAATTAATGGCCTACAATCTTTAATAGCTGCTAATGAAATTTTTTGGGTTGTTCCTTCATTCTTACAGTAAAATTGATCTTCTCTGTTTAATTACGAACAAAATTTTCCTGGTATTTAGAAACATAGACAGAGAAATCCTTGAATGAGCACACATGCTCATGACGACGCGATGTTGTGATGTTGCAAAGCAACATCACAGTCAAGATGAACGTGTTTTTTTAAATGCACCATATTAGTATAAAAATGATGTAAAAATCGATTATTATACAAGCGCCAAAAAACACTTCGCAGACGGTCCCAACAAATGACATTAATTTTGGGAAAAAATTGCTTCGCAAGGGAAAGGAAATATTCTAACAAGAGGCTGACAAACACTACAAAAGAGTTAAAAAATTCTAAAAACAGAGCTGAATGAAAAATAACAAGTGTCACCTAAAAAGATGACAAAACATATTTTGCTCATAAGCAATTACCTTCAATACCAATGCTTCCGATATTTCGATACAGTTTCTCCGAGCAACTCAGCACGCCACAAAACACACGTCTTATTATCGTCGCACATGAAGAAGTGTCTTAATAAGGAGTCAGTGACTTGCGATAATGATTACACAATACGCTCGGCAAAATCTCTCATAAGCCGTCCATAGAAAATAACGGGCTTAGCAGGCCGGCAGATTTGGGCAGAGCCGAGACGAGTGTGACAGCCAACGATCCCTTACCGAATCTTACGAGCAAATTGGGACCTGCGTGCTGGGATATTCTCACCTTATTGATACCCATTCACTTGCTGATGAATGGTTATGGAAAAATGCTTCATAAAAATTGTTGAATTGCGTATTATTCACTTCCGTTTATTGACATGATCATAGGAAAAATTACGTTAGGTTTTAACATTTGGTTTTGAAAGGGCATGAATCAAAAGCTGGTCAAACCATTTCAAATGTATAAAAAAGTATCAACAATAAAATGAAAATTTGACTACGAAAAAGGACAACAAATAAACTCTTGGACAAAGGGCGCTGCAGAAATAAAAATTTCAGCAAGATTTTCAGTAACATTTTGCGGTGAGGGTGAATTCAACCTTTTATATTATTTTTTTTAAGTAGAGGGTGAGTTCACCCTTTTATATTATTATTTTTTTAAAGAGAGGGTGAGTTCACCCTTTTATATTATTGTTTTTTTTCAAGTAGAGGGTGAGTTCACCCTTTTAAATTATTTTTTTTCGAGAAAGTGTGGGTTCACCCTGGAGACCTTCAAGAAACGACCGGATATGTCCCTGATTATCCGAATCAAAAGTTGCGAATCGGATCGTAAGTCTCATTTGAGGGGCAAACAGCTAGAGCACGAATGTTGATGCTTTATTGGGCTTGTCGGTGCAATGATAATTACGTTAAAAAGATGACTTCTAAATAATTCATTTCATGACTGAGCATGAGATTTTTAATGACACAGAAGCTCCAGCACGCCGACAACTTCACTCATTTCTGACCTTTGTCCTGATCAGAAGCAAGCAGCCGGTACATCTTGTATTAGACTCGGTGCCAAATGCTTAAAACCATAATATAACGGGTTTTCATGGATTTAAAACATAATATAAGGGTTTTTCATGGTTTTAAAACCATAATATATTGATATATTATTATATCAATACATATATATTAATTGCATTGTTGTGTACTTGCAGCACTCGTTTCGGAGGGAGAAGATGCAGCAGATTTCCTCGCCAGTAACAACAGGTGATTCTAATGTAGGGAGGATTTTAGTAGAACACACGACTGTGCTTTGAGACGAACTTAGATCGAAAATGGCATATGACTTGTAATGGCATATACATAGATCGAAAATGGCATATGACTTGTAGAAATATAGTTGCGAGGCGCAATTTGTTTGACGAGAAGGGAAAAAAGCTTCTAAGTTCAGAGAAATTCGAAATGTAAAATAAATTGAGTGATTTTCACATCATCAATTTTATCGATGTGAAAATCGATAAAATTTTTAATTCAGACACTGAATGCATTGAACTTTAACTATAAATCTAAAACTAACGCTCTTATGAAAGATCTAAACAAAAAACTTATGAAAGACCTAAACGCCCATATGAAAGACCCAAACAAAATTAAAATTGATTTATTGCTTGTCGGAAATAGCCCAAATAAAACAACAAACATATGCAGAATAGAATCAGCGAGATGCAGCCCTTTGCTTCTCCTAGCTCCCACGAGGCAGAGGAGCTAAACGAATGCGCGCAAAACTGAGAGCGCTACAAGCTACCTTGATTATACCTCTTGCTCCGACGCTGCCGACCTTCTGCAGCGGGGGTCAAGAGAATAGTAACGTGTCAGAGGGATAATCGTGACGGTGAACAGTGCACACCCGACATAGACGTGGGGGCCAAGAGAATAGCAACTTGTCAGAGGGATAGTCGGGACGGTGCACAGTGCACACCCGGCATAGACGCAGGGGCCAAGAGAATAGCAACTTGTCAGAGGGATAGTCAGGACGGAGCACAGTGCACACCCGGCATAGACGCAGGGGCTAAGAGAATAGCAACTTTTCAGAGGGATAGTCGGGACGGTGCACAGTGTATATCCGACATAGACGTGGGGGCCAAGAGAATAGCAACTTGTCAGAGGGATAATCGTGACGGTGCACAGTGCACACCCGACATAGACGCGGGGGCCAAGAGAATAGCAACTTGTCAGAGGGATAGTCGTGATGGGTGCACAGTGTACACTGTACACCCAACGTAGACGCGGGGGCCAACAGAATAGGAAATTGTCATGCAGGGGGATAGTCGTGATGGGTGCACAGTGCACACCCGGCATAGACGCGGGGGCCAAGAGAACAGTAATTCATCAAAGGGAAGATCGAAACTCTATACAGTCATAGAGGCTCGAGAACTATATAAAAATATTTACTAATCATTGGCACTTTAACATTCACTGAAAAATAGTGTCAAAAAGTGGGAGTTCGTGTCTTTGATGGGAAAGATGACAATTTTACTGCCTTCAAATAATAAATCTACTATTATAATACTTATCATTACAAATACCGTTGATTTCTACCCTGGATGTATAATTTCTTTTCACAATCAATTCCAAAAATAAATAAGATCAACCAGTATCGCAGTTGGGCCGGCAACAGGAGCCTAATTTTAATATAGACTTCAGAATATCGTTAATGCTAACTTTCAGCCTGGCCATTCAACCTAAACTTAGGCAAATAGAGAAGGCTTAGGCGACTTATGTAATTAACGGGAAAACTTTTCGAGGCGAAGTTTTGCCAACAAAAATACTAGATTCATCGGCAATGAACTCGAAATCGAACTGATTTTGCTCATCTCTAACCAAGGGAAAGAAAAATGTGCCGAAACCTTCGTGATTGATCACGAAGGAAACGAAGAAATGGCAAAACAATTTTCGACTAAACGCAATAAACAGCCTTACACTTTATATAAATGATGGTGGGAACTGTTCGCGTTTGCATTCATTTATCATTCTAAATTAAATAGCGACGGTACACATAAAAAAATTAGCCTTTAAAAAAGTAATAATGTGAAATTACCTACAGACAAACTTCACTATAAATTATTTTTGTTGCATTGATAACATGTCGTAATTCGGAGCTATTTCAACGTCGCAGAACCGTCGCATTCAATATTTATCATATTCAATAAAACGAGCTTTCCTTCATCAATTGATGTGCCCATTAACGTATTTTTTTTACCTCGTCCGAAACTTTCAACGGTATCAGAGTTTTGAGAAGAAATCTCATATAAATAAACACTTATCTCTATCGGTTCAGACAAACCGTAGCGACGGAGCTTCTTTGAAGTTAAAAATTTTCTAAATATGCTGAGGTATTTCTCTAAATACCCAAAAAGGATCGCTGGAAGTGGGCACTGTTCCCGAAGATATATCCGTTGGAATTGCGCCGACAGTTGGGCGACTCAATCTTGCACAATTGAGAAAGATCCACAAATGCCGTCTAAGTCGTTAGCACGAAGACTCGTACGTAAAGAGTGCGATTTTAGGAATCCAGAAGCCAATGCCATATCCATTAGAGGTCTCAATTATCGGTGGCAAAAGCGCAGCCGGCGAACACGGTTCTTGCCTTAGCAACGAAGCTTCTTCCTTCAAATTTCCTAGAAAAAGTCAGTTCCTATGATGCGAGAACACAGAGACGCATCTATACATGCATGATGTTACCACGCATTTCACGGTGCGCACCAGGACGATGACGTTATGACCCCCTAAAGAACTTCAAATCCTGGCAATATCGAAGCGAGAGAGCAAGTCTGACGATGTGAGATGAACTAAAAATGAAGTTATCGTGGAAATGGATTCGGAGAATCAGCGCCTTAGCAACACAGTGATCAGTTTTGTCTGAGATAATCAAAATAATTGATAAGCTTAGTCGTCAACTATACAGTTATCAATAGTAAACTGCTACCAAGTTTTTA